GTTTAGTACCGTACCAGTACGATCTTGCAGTAATTTTTTGATCATAATTCGGTAGGTTTGCAAATGATCCATAGGCCTGGGCCTTTAAAATCCCGCTGCTGTATTTTTCTATAATATCTTGCACTTCTCAGGGTGGTTTCCATTGCGCCGTTCAAGGTGCTGTCATGCGCTCTGGCTGGTACACAGGGCGAGAACCAGTACAATTACAACTCGTCCAATACCCAGGCCTGGCTTGACCTGGGTCACACTGACACGTGGTACATGAGGGACCAAGATGGCGACGGCAGGGACGATTACTGCAGGTCAGTTGAATTTTAACCTCCAATATACCGTTTATCTTGTTTTATTGGTTTTTGAAACATTTGTTTCGTCACTGGCTTTGGCTTGAGCTTGTAGGAACCCGACTCGGGGTTCGTAATTCTACTTTAGGAGCAGAGCATAAAATATAATAGTCTTAAGTTGGTAGAGCACCATGGGCGTCGCCAGGATTTTTTTCTAAAGGGGGCAAAACATATTTTTCCCAAAAAATTCCTGTATTTTGCAACATATTCTCGATTTATCACTTTTTAGAGGGGGGCAGGGACATGTTGCCCCCCCCCCCTCAACTCATTAAATTAACACCACTATGACTTCGCGCCTCTTTTTTTTTTTTTGCTTTGGGGGGGGGGGGGGGCAAGCGCCCCCTCCCCCCCCCCCCCGCGACGCCCATGTAGAGCACCGGAACGGTAATTCGGAGGTCGTAGGTTTTAGCCCGGTCCAGTCAATTTCTTTGTGCAGCTTAATAGATCTTACAATGCACCTAGTCAGTTTCTCTTTGTGGTTTATTAAAAAAAAAATGTAATATAAAGTTGTATCCCTCCGAGTGAGCCCTGGTTGGCACCATTACTAATGTTCATAGCATCTTGACTCACGGTGTGAACCAGGCTATATACGGCTTTATGGCTTCTGCCTAGCGCCCAAAGACATTGACGAAATGGGGAACTGCCAACATCGGGCTGCAAAGCTTTGTTCAACATTAAATTTGCCCAACTTTTTCGTACAAAACGTGGGTAGTATCGAAATCGAAGACCCCTAAAACGAAGACCGAAGACCTAGGACCCACTCGAAAACGAGGACCCATTTCGAAAATGAGGACCCACTCGAAAACAGGTCTTCGTTTTCAAGTGGGTATTTGTTCTCGAGTGGGTCTTCGGTCTTCGTGGCACCATTCAATAGTCTGGTGGTGCAACTGTGGACAACATGTATAGTTATTAATAGAAAGACTAGTACCAGAAAGCTTTCTTCTGAAGTACTCCATACTTTTTTTTCATGTATCAGATTATTTCTGTCCTTGTTTCTTGGTATGCAAATACATAGGTGTGTTGGAGCGCCGCGAAATACGACCATTTCGTGCTTGAGAGCTGGGGCCGAAGGTTTTGAGGATGAATTCGAACCGGAAGGCGCCGCCAACGACGACTGTCAGTACATCAAGGTCAACAAACTCTTTGGCCCTTGAGGTACAATCCAGTGTGAATATAATCGCTTGATGTGTGCTACGGCATAAAGTAGCGCATACACATTTAAAGGGAATATACATCATTTGCTTTTGCTGTAATTTTCAGAAATGGATGGAATTGGGGGGTTGGAAATATATAGCAAATATAGTTACACTGACTTTTTTGAGGTTTTGGGTTCGAAAATGCTATAAAAACCAAGAAAAACAATCACTTTCCTGTAGTCTGGTTCCCTGACTCTATTTGAGAAGAAACAGAGCAGTTTACATACATTGGGGAATTGTAAGGTCAGGGAACCAGTCTAGCTTGCTTGTACCCGTTCATAGGTGTGTAATCGATTGCAAACAAGTGCGATGGTCAACTGGGGCCAGTATTTGAAAAAAAAAACCAGTTTTTTCCAACGCTGGTCAGCCGATCAGCGTTGGAAATTGATACAAAATACCACTTTTCTTGAAAATGACAGCTTACCAGGTGCCATGATTTTACAGGATGCTTTACACTGTCATTCACTAACAGTCCAGCAAGGTATTTCAAAATGATTTGGTAGTTTTATTTTTTGATGTTTGCAAAATTTGTATTTTCACTTTAAGGTGACAATTTATTTGTACATATTTTTTTCATATATTATAATAAATGAATACAAAGGATTAAATGTAAACAATTTTGATTTGACAGGTGATCAGACAAATACATTATTTTTTTTTTAAACTTTTTTTCATTGTATTGGTATTTTTTACAGTAGTTTAAATTCATAATTATTATGAAATTTTCATAGAGTAGAAATTTCTGCTGTGTGTAACTTTTGTATTCAAATATGACCTGTTCTGTGAAAATCAGACTTTTTCTGGGCATGAGGTCAAAAATGAGATTTTTAAAAAGGTGGTTTAATTTTTGAAACCGGTCATTCCTGGGCAGAGTTATGCTATTTTGAAGTTCATTGTGTCAAAAAGTAGAAAACGGAGAAAATGGCCACGAACGTCTCAAAACAGTAATTTCTTTCACTGATATACCTTAACAAATCATCAAAAATACTATATTTAGAGTTCAAATTAGGCTTTCAAACTTTAACATTATATTTTAGACATGTTCAGGATTACAAATATGCAAAAATTAGGAAATAGAAAAAAATCACCCCCACAGCTTTTCTTGGCCCTATCTTAATTTCAACCTCTGCCCAGAAGCGTCTGCTTTTGACAGAACAGGTCACAAATAGTGAAGGCAAGATTATCATCAAACAGAAATTATGATAAATTATTAGTCTGCAAAATTACATAACAATGCTTGTTGGATTTGGACATAGAAGGCATTGTCATTTGCGTAATTTTTTGAAGCCTTTTTTAATGTCATCTTTATCATCTTTGTCACACAGGGTTTTCAGGCTTGGGCTCAGCTCACATTTGAGGAAACTTAATTTTCGTTATTTTTGTATAAATTAATTTAAGTTTTGTAGTTTCATTGCTTTTAATTTTTAATTTGCTTTCATTTGGCAATTTGCCAACACCCATTCACTCATTCCAGTTTCAAGTCTATCTCTCACAACCATTTAATCTATGGCTAACTTTATGATTGGGTTAATTTTTGTTCAGTTAACAGTTTAAAGAATTAAAAAGTTAATTCTTTTTTGTTTGTTATCTGAAATCTGGCGTCAAGATTCAATTTGTTAGTACTGTCCCAAGTTGTGTTAAATCTATTTCTGACCACCGTCATTTAAAATTCACGATTCTATCTGTGACACCCCTTTCCATTTGAATAAAATAAGTCTTTAAAGTACATTCCAAAAAATCAAAAGAAGTCTAAGAAACAAAATCATATTTAAGTTGTCTCGATGTTCATCATATACTCTCTCTCATTAAAATTACTGGTGTGATTGAACGGCATTTGTATTTTCATTATAAAAACTCACAGCGCATTTTTTTTAATTGTAATATTTTAAACAAGTTTATCATGAAGCATGCCATAAAAATGATATCAATCATCAATACTACTGTTGCGTCTATTGATAGTATACATGCAACATGGAAAATAATCATAGTCAAACCTCTTATTCAGCAAAGCCCCTTTAGAAGGAATTGACAAATCTGGAACCACGCATCGGTGCTGCAAGCGATCCTGTCGAGTTCAATCGGATTCAAAGCTTGAACAAGCTTTCTAATGAACGTTGACATTTGAGTTTGGCTTCGCAGCCAAAGTTTCCTCTGGGATTTTGAAGTGCTTTCTTACAGTATCTTTCACAAGCATGAGGTATAACCACTGATCTCTATATAAAGACTGGATAGCTAATAAAGAGCCGCACAATGAATGAATTTGACGCCATATTGGTGAGACCGGCTGGTGATCTACAAAGGACAAGTTGCCGTCTTTATAGACAGCATGATTTCTTTTGTAACGTCATGGTTCACTTGACTTATATTTTGACCACCCCCACTGACCAAGGTTTACTACAATTTTTCTAACGTCGTGGTTACTTTTAAAATGCCGCAAATAATTTTTTTGGTGTTTTTGAAATAATAATCACTACGGAAATGTGCCCCGTTTAGAACATCATAATATGTGTACGTGACCAAAATGCGCGTAAACTGTTGATACAACGCGCGCGTATTTACGCATAGAACGTTCGTATTATACGCGGCCATCTTCGTGAGACCGTTGTGAATGTTGTATGCATATCCGCTATCCAGTCTTTATATAGAGATCAGTGGGTATAACCATGACAGGGACATTCCAGACGACCAGTGTACTTCAAACATGTGCACTTTTAGTTTTGAGTAAACTCTAGGCAGGACAGAGTGTCACGTTCTTGAAGAGACGACTTGGGCAAGGCATAACATACCAAAGGTTCCTATGAGGTACAGGGCTGGAGGTAGGGTCCTCAGGAGGCCACCTAACCTATCCAAAATAGTATCACAAGAGTTGGAGTCAAGTCGTTAAAAGTCGTTACAAGATGATCACAAGACAATTGTTAGTGATCACAAGACAATCGTAAGTGATCACAAGTTATCAGAAGATAATATACATACAGACGATCACAAGTAACCACAAGTCATCACAAGCCAATAACAATTGATCACAAGAAAATATTCACAGCCAATCATAAGTCATCACAAGATAATCACAAGTCAACACAAGATATTACAAGCCAATCACATGTTATCACAAGCAAATAACAATTGATCACAAGAAAATATTCACAGACAATCATAAGTCATCACAAGATAATCACAAGTCAACACAAGATATTACAAGCCAATCACATGTCATCACAAGCCAATCAGGAGTCATCACAAGAGAAGGAATTCATCACAAAACCATCACAAGTAGTAAACAGTCACTCACAATTCACGCAATCACAAGTGATCACAAGTGATCACAAGACATTCACAAGTCACTACAAGCCAACCGCACGTCATCACAAGCCAACATGGTCATCAAAAGTCACCACAAGTCATCACAAGTCACCACAAGTCATCACAAGACAATCAAGTCATGACAAGACAATCTAAATCTTACCCTGAGATGGTCCCGTAGTCTGGCCTCCTTCCCAATGCATAGATTTCTGCACAGCCAACTTCCACTTGCTGTAACGGGCACTGCGGTCTGATAGTGATAGATAACAACAAATTGCATGCTCATCAATTAAACCTCCAATGTGCCACTTGTACTGTTTTTACACGAACGCACGTCCGTACTATCTTTCATAGTCGCTTGTATTTCATGTAATAATCCCAATGCTGTTCGGTTTTATAGCTTTATATGTCAACACAGTACTTTCCCATAGTGTCTGAATATATTCCGATCCCAGCATGTCGATTGTTTATTTGGCCATCGATGACTATTAATTGCTTGGGTAGGTCTGGCGGTAAAACCCAGACCTCGAAGGCCCCTTTATGTATACAAAGTAATGGGAGACTCTTGGGGCAGCACTTTGTTTTGCAAAAAGCTGGGTCACCGGTTCAACCAGGGTTCAAGCGGCACTTACCATGTTATTTGGCTTGCTTTGAACTAGGAATACATGTAATATGAGATTTTTTTAACGCAGGATGAAAAAGTAATTGCTTTTTTTACAGCGAAGCGACTATGAAAAATAGTACAGTGGCACATCGGAGAGTTAATGCACATGATTGAGCCCTCTATCAACCAAAGGTCTATCACAAGTCATCACATGTAAAGCACATGAAAATCACATGTCACTATACAAGACAATCAAAAGTGAATCTATGAACAAGTGGCAGAGTTGAACCCTTACAGTGGATGTCATTTGGGGAACTGTAAATTAAAATTCAGTCTTGGGGATCTTGGCACTCAACTCCGAGAAATTCCGCGCATACATGTACCTCACTCATTCCGGTAGCTTGATTATCTTCAAGCAAACTTGAATCCTCGAACCTGATTGGTTGATTCCATGGCAATACGCCACGGTCCATATCACACTCCACATATCGCGCTGTTCTAGGACGCGCACCATTCCTGCTGCACACACGTGCAATAGGATTACTACTGAAAAGCTCATGTACACAGCGCGCTCAATTCAACTTTACTTGAGTCTGAAAATCGAAGAAATGTCTGAAAGATGTTCGATACTAATAATGTCTATCCCTCAGATTTTGAAAAATCTCATGCCTGATTCTACGCAATTAATGCCTTACTCGAAGAGCTCGCGTGTAGATTCTCTAATAACGTGTTCCATTTTGGACCACATTGGCCAAATAATTTGTATTGCGTACATTGTGTTTAACTGACACATTATTGGCACATTATTGCGAATTCTAATGCCCCCCAAAATTGCAATCATATACAGGACATGTATCTTTTCATACAGTAAACATGTGCATGTACCGGTACATGTACATGTATGTACGTACACGTATGTATTACTATGCAGACATAAAATACCATATGGCCAAAATCCTTTTCTTTTTTTTAAATCAGCTTCAGAGTTTGTACATGTAATAGAAACTAGAACAGTATGCTAATTTGCCCTTTAACTACTGTACATGTACTTTGCCCTTAAATTTGTATAAATGAACAGCTGGTTGTGCCAATGTACGTTAATTTATGCACAATGTGTATTGAAGGCCTGGCAGGTAGGCAGGTGAATCTTGATAGGTCAAGTTTGCTTGAAGATAAATTTCTTATCCCTCTCGCGCTCGTGGAACACAGAAAATGTAATGCATCTGTAACACTCGGCCTTCGCCCCTGAGGCATATGAGACACAGATGCACTACATTATTCCGAGTTCCACTTGTGGGATAACTAAAATTGCAGCGTCTGTGAGGAACGCTCAGAATTTCGTGGCACAAATTTTTGAAATTCCAAGGACTGCATTTAGCTCATCTTGTTGATAATGCCTTTTACCAGCATGGCGACCTGACCGTGCTAGCCAGAGGCCAGCCAGCCTCGACTGCATTGGCGCGTGCGCGTTCCTTACACTAACCCCTGGCCGTGATGATGACGTAAGTGACACTGATTGGCTATTCACAGCGTACTGCGTGCCCAGTTCGAAGATTGCATGCCGGGCGCGCCCATAATGCGCTCACGTGCTTTGCACGTTACATCACGCACGAAAAAAGTTTGTTATTCAAAAGTCGCGATGCCTGTACGATATGGATTATGGCAGCCTCGTTTTGCACTATAAAAAAACCCTGTATCTTCGGTTGTAAAGGGATGAAAGGGGTACGTACATTTAATACAAATCTTTGCTAAATAACGCAAAGTCCAAATGTTTTGTTTGAAAGGATTGATTCTTCAAAATCACAACTTTTAACATTTTAAAGATGGTGTCGGCACGTAAAACGGATAAACTGCAGCCTAATTATAATGTGCCATATTTTGACACATTTAAATTACACAGATCCAGGGGTTACGATTGCACAAGGCATGATGGGAAACAACATGGCGCAGCAAGATCGTACCCATGGGGCACGAGTTTGGAGACCAGCTGCATATTATTGGAACAAAATCCAAACCCGGTCCAGAACCTAGACTAGCTATATTCAATATCTCAGATGCAGTGTTATAGCCGTATCCGAATTACTCCAGGCTATGGCTTAAAATTACACACGTGCCTAGGACAGCCACTTGCCATAGACCCCTGTTACTTCTAGCCATAGCCAGCCATTTTGGATGCAGCCTTACTTTCTTCTGAGATGGATGGAGAGAAGGTATCCGTGGTGATGGCAGTCAGGTCTTCTGTTGCTAGGCTCCAGACTCCTACAGCGTGCCCTGCTGCCATGGCTGCTCCTAGTGCAGTGGTCTCGGGCATGGATGGGCGGACTGCAGACATTAAAAGAACATCATAGCAATGTAGACTGTTTACAGAAATTTGTCAAGCATAGTGTTATGTTGGAGTCCATCAAAATGTGGTAACAGAAAAATCCCAAGTTTATCATTGGAAGAATCAAAGGAGTGCCTGGGTCATGATTTATTTAAGCAGCATTTGACTTTAAAGGGAATGTACAACATTTGCTTTTGCTGCAATTTTCAGAAATAAATGGATTTGGAGGATAAGTGTGCTATCGAAAATATTGTTAAACTGACTTGTTTCACGTTTTGAGTTCGAAGATGCTGGAAAATCCAAGAAAAGCAACCCTGTTCTTATAGTCCCCACTTAAGATGAGACGTTGCAATTTATAGACTTTGGGGAATTGTAGGTAAGAGAATCAGTCTAGCAGGCTTGTACCCCTCCACAGATGCGTAATCAATTGCAAAGAAAATGCAGAATGACTAAAGATGAAAAGTTAGGAGCACTTTTAGAAAAAAAGCCAGTTTTCTCCAACGATGATCGGCCGACCAGCGTTGGAAAAATACAAGTTTTCTTGAAAATGTCAGCACACAAGGAGCCACGATTTTACAGTATGCTTAAGATTGTCATTCACTAACAGTTCAGTAAAATGTTTTGTTATAATTTGATCATTTCGTTTTTTGATGTTTGCAAATGTTGTATCTTCCCTTTAATACTTGGGACTGGATGACTTGTGAGTAGTGGTGTACGTGCATTTACGATTAGTATGGGAACCAGGTACCCCATTGAAGAACACAGGTACCCAGGTACCCGTAAAAGAAGCCCAACCCCAAAATTCAAATCCTTGAAACTGCTATGCGTAAAACTACGGTGTACCCTATTGAATAACACAGGTACCCAGGTACCCATATGTTAACCCAATCCCCAAAATTCAAATCCTTGACACTGCTATACGTAAAACTACGGTGCACCCTAGTGAAGAACACAGGTACCCGGGTACCTGTAAAAGAAACCCAACCCCAAAATTAAAATCCTTGAAACTACTATACGTAAATCTACGGTGTACCCTAGCGAAGAACCCAGGTACCCATAAATAAACCCAACCCCAAAATTCAAATCCTTGAAACTGCTATACTTGAGACTACGGTGTACCCTATTGAAGAACACAGGTACCCAGATACCCGTAAATAAACCCAAACCCCAAAATTCAAATCCTTGAAACTGCTATGCGTAAAACTACGGTGTACCCTAGTGAAGAACCCAGGTACCCGTAAATAAACCCAACCCCAAAATTCAAATCCTTGAAACTGCTATACTTGAGACTACGGTGTACCCTAATGAAGAACACAGGTACCCAGATACCCATAAATAAACCCAAACCCCAAAATTCAAATCCCTGAAACTGCTTTGCGTAAAACTACGGTGCACCCTAGTGAAGAACTCAGGTACCCGTAAATAAACCCAACCCCAAAATTCAATTCCTTGAAACTGCTATACTTGAGACTACGGTGTACTCTACTGAAGAACACAGGTACCCAAGTACCCATAAATAAACCCAAACCCCAAAATTCAAATCCTTGAGACTGCTATACGTAACACTACGGTGTACCCTATTGAAGAACACAGGTACCCGGGTACCTGTAAAAGAAACCCAACCCCAAAATTCAAATCCTTGAAACTACCTAAAGGGCTTTACATTTTGTATATGTTTAACGGTGTAAACTGCAACTTTCACAAGTGTCATCTGTTGCACGTTTAACTGCATATAAACGTGAAATCTGTTTTGATTTTCAATATATAGCATGATTTTCGTTTTGGAAATTCCCACAAATGGCATATTCTTAACCTTTCATTTTCATTGTCTGAAAAGTAACTAAGTACTTTGTAAAGTTGGTTACGGGTACCCGATCCCATAATCTGGAACCTGTTCCTGACATCAGCGGTCCATTTCTCCGGTACCTGGTTCTGATGCACACCCCTATATGTGACCTGTTCTGTCAAAAGCAGACGCTTCTGGGCAGAGATTAAAATTGAGATAGGGCTTAAAAAACGCTGTGGGGGTGATTTTTTTTTATTTTCAAATTTGTGCATATTTGTAATCCTGAACATGTCTAAAATACACTATAAAAGTTTGAAACCCTAAGTTGAAGTCTAAATGTAGTATTTTTGACGATTTGTTAAGATATATCAGTTAAAGAAATTACTGTTTTGTGACGTTCGTGGCCATTTTCTCCATTTTCTACTTTTCAACACAATGAACTTCAAAATAGCATAACTCTGCACAGGAATGACCGGATTAAAAAATTAAACCACCTATTAAAAGGAAAAAGAACATACTTTAACAATATGCAAACAACTCATTTGTGACCATATGCCCAGAAAAGTCTGATTTTGACAGAACAGGTCACATTTGTGAGGGATAGTTGAGGACTTTGGATGGTAAAAAACAGGTGTTACTGTCTTACCGACAGGGATGTTCAGCAGATCTGCTTGAAGCTGCATTAGCAGCTGATTGGCTGTCATGCCTCCGTCCACCTGCAATCTGACCAATGGGATGCCGGAATCCTGGTCCATGGCTTCTAACAACTAGGGCAAAAATAAAACAAGGTTGAGTACGGTAGCTTACACAAAAGGGACCATAAGAAACATGCAGCTCATGAAACCTTTCTGATTATACCACCGCTTTGTGTTGTTCACTGCATCGACACATCTGCTATTTTGTTGCTATTTGTACGCAGGCATAAATTATGAACCAGTAGCTGACCAACTGTCCATGATCAAATTTACTCAAAGGTTACCTCTTTAGTGGGGGAGTGTGTAGCCTAGTGGTTAGGATTCGTGACTCATGATCAGAGGGTCCGGGGTTCGAATCCAGCCGCTGGCCATATATTGTGTCCTTGGGCAAGGCACTTCACCCCCACTTGCCCCTCTCCACCCAGGAGTATAAATGGGTACCGGCATTAGCTGGGGAGTAATCCTGCGATGGACTGGCATCCCATTCAGGGGGAGTAGAAATATTCTCAGTCGTTTCATGCCAAGGAAACCGGAGATAAACACCGGCCTGATGAGCCACATTGGCTCGAGACAGACTTTACTTTTTTACTACCTCTTTAGTTTGGAAGCAGACGGCCTCAAGCACAGCCCTGGCAATGTGGGCCTTGGTGCTGTACTGGGTCAAGCCACAGATGATTCTGAAAGAAAGATTGGTGAAAAAAAAGAAACCCAGTAAAATCGCGTCAACGCAAAGCTTGTGAAATATTGTACATGATATACAAATGGACGATTATTGTGCAAAATCTTAGACACACAAAACTTTACTAACAAAATTCTGTAAGGTTGTCTAAAGCCAGCCTCAGGTCGACCTGCGATTTGTTTGCGCCGTGATGGAACCATCAGCATCAAGCAGAGAAATAATGCTCCGGTCACAAAACTGAGAAACTGATTCTCTTTAAACAAGTGGCTTCCCGACGCAAAATAATTGCAACCATGCTCCAGGCATGCAACTTGGAATCAACAAAAACGAGGAAATACCAAATTTTACAGGACTTTGTACAGTGCTTTTTAATTTTAAATGGCAAAAGTCTGAAGTGAAAAACGAGCAAATCAGCTGATCCGAGGAAAAGTTGCATGCCTGATGCTCATGTCACCCACGACACAACGATCCATGACGCAGATTGATCCAGGTGAGAAGTCAGTCGCCGACTGATCTGTGTCGTCGCAAGGTTGACCTAAGGGCGGCTTAAGGGGCATGGGTAACTCGCAAAGGGGATTTGCTGAACATACCCTCTGGCATCGGTTTGCCAGTATGGTGCGTAGAGGCCCGAGAAAGCCGGGACGAAATAGACACCTCCGCAGTTGTCCACACTAGCAGCAAGGGGTTCTACAGGAAAACAGAGCAGTTTAATCCAGTGCAAACGATTTGTAAGTTATTGAATTCTCAATACGGACATTTCACAAATTCAGTGCGCCGTCAAGAGGTTACCACGGAGAGTCCGCCGGGACAGTAAGTGAGATAGGGGAGTCAGGTTGGCGCAGTAATTCTTTTCTTGCCTTCCACCGCTATGGCCTGGGTTCGATTCCTGTCTGGGCCACAAGTGGATTGGGTTTTCAGTCCCTACTTCCGTTGGTCCCCTCCCCCCCAAACTATTCTTCTAGGGTTTTTCTCCCGCCTTTAAGACGGTAACTTCTTCACGGTCTTCGCACAAGGGGTTTCTTCAGGCTCGCGAGCCACAGTGCCTAGGATGCTTTTGAGGAATCCTTGGTTTCATTACATGAAGAGGTGCTTCTGAAAACGTGCTTTCAAAGGGAAAATCGAATGCCCCATAATGTAGGTTACACAAGAAAGAGGATAGGGGGCCTTGCACTGTGGGTTCCATCTGAGCAAATGGCTTAAATACAAATGTTCAAAACATTTTTTTTTAAATCATGTTAAAACTGGTCAGACTAATAAAATGGTGCCACCTGTTTGGGGGAAAAAGTCAAGGAAACTGCTCACCGATATCTTTGGCTTCTTTGATGATTCCAAGATTGTCTCTCAGCCATCGGACTGCTGCCCCGCTGATGGCCACAGAACCCTGGCAGATTGCAAGAAAATCAGGGTATGATTTTATGGAGCCGATTGACCCTAACTCCTTTGAACACTTTTATAAGTGTCCTGAATCTGCCAAAATCCACCAGTTTTGTCATGCAAAAAAATGTTGGTGTCCTGAGTCTATCAGAATCCGCTAGTGAGTCCACACATTCTTGTTCCGTAATTGTGGGGACTTACACTCGTCTGTGCAAGGTATTTGTGGGGACCGAAAATGCTATGGGGACAGCAGAAAGTCCCCATTACTCGGTCCTAATTTGCCTAACAAAAAAAACTTCCCCATAACGCGGTGTATGCCTACCCACACAAACCCACCAGTGTAGTACATATACCTCATACACACCAAACATATGGTCAAGGAGTTAAACTGTTGAGATCCTGAATCCATCAAAGTCCCCCATCTGCTCAATATGGAAGTATCCTGAATCCATCAAAATCCTGCAGTACCGCTAGGCTTACTGTCCTGAATCCAGCAAAATCCCCCAACTTTTTTCAACATGGAGGTATCCTTAATCCGCCGAAATCCTCCCAAACCAGGCTGTGGATTTTGATGGATTCAGGTACGTTACGGTTAATAGAAAATGTTGCTTGGCAAATTTTTGTGCTAAGCAAAACTCAGCGGAGGACCAGCCACAAGCAATATACATTGTATGATAATTTAGCTGGTCACCTGTTTTTGCTGAGCAAGTATTTCCTGTGCTGAGCAGCCATGACATTGTCAGCAAGTCACTGCAAACCACCGTTTGTCGCTCGCTCCGCAATAGACTGATTGCATTCGGCAGCCATTGGAGGTGCATTTTATGTTAATACATTAACAATGAATACGCAAGAGGTCTACTAATGTGCATAATACATAAAAGTACACACACGATAAAGGACACTTGGACTATATACTGAAACACGCAATGTCATAAACAAGTGACAAATTAATAAGATGGAATTTTTTTGCGTCGGGGTGATATAAATCAAATCAGGTTTTGCCCTTCACCGACATTTAAACACTGTATACTCAGTGTGTTACCTCCCGAGTGAAAGTTGGAAAAAATCACTCGGTTACGACTCAAACCCATGACCTCCTGCTTTCTAGTGCAGATGTCTTACCACTCGACCACCGAGCTAATGGGATTGGTTGGATGGTTCGAATCTGATGTACATAGCAGCAGGTACCGCATAAACTATTAATATGATGGAATTTGTTTGTGTCGGGGTGATATATAGATGGCTGCTGCATGCAATCAGTCTTATTGCGGTACCCGCTGCTATGTACATCAGATTCGAACCAGCCAACCAATCCCGTTAGCTCGGTGGTCGAGTGGTAAGACATCTGCTCTAGAAAGCAGGAGGTCGTGGGTTCAAGTCCCAACCGAGTGATTTTTTCCAACTTTCACTCGGGAGGTAACACACTGAGTATACAGCGTTTAAACGTCGGTGAAGGGCAAAACCTAATTTGAAGTGACAAGTTAGTGAAAAATATGTAACCAGCCAAAATCACTTTTGATTTGTACAACTTGTGAACGATTCTTTGGCAGTTGAATAAAATGAAGCCCGTGCTCTACCTTGTGGGGCTACTTTTAATTTTGTTTGTTTTACCTCCAATGCATAGACTACAGGAGCCTCCTTGCCTAGTTTGTAGGCAACGGTTGTCAGTAGTCCGTGCTTGGATAGCACAGGTTCCTCACCGGTGTTGTACAGTAGAAAGCAGCCAGTGCCATACCTTGAAGGAAAGTGAAAATGATAAAAGGGTGGAGTCATTCACAAGTCCTCAAAAGTCCATCACAGGTCCTCACATCCTCATAAGTTGTTACAAGCTAGTCCTCACTAGTCTTAACAAGTCTTTATAAATCTTCACAAGCCCAAGTCTTCACAAGTCCTCAGAAGTCTTTGCAATTCGTCACGAGTCTTCAGAAGTCATCACAAGTCCATCACATCCTTACAAGTTCTCACAAGTCCTCACAAGTCTGTGCAAGTCTTTACAAATCTCCACAAGCCCATCATAAGTCCTCACACATCTTTGCTATTCATCACAAGTCCTCACAAGTCTTCGGAAGTCATCATAAGTCCATCACAAGTCCTCACATATCCTAACATATCCTATCACATCCTTACAAGTTCTCACAAGTCCTCACAAGTCCTCACAAGTCTGTGCAAGTCTTTACAAATCTTCACAAGCCCAACCATAAGTCCTCACACATCTTTGCTATTCATCACAAGTCCTCACAAGTCTTCGGAAGTCATCATAAGTCCATCACAAGTCCTCACATATCCTAACAAGTCCATCACAAATATTTGCAAGTCCTTACAAGTCCTATCAAGTCCATCACAAGTCCTCAAGTCTTCAGAAGTCCTCACAAGTCCTCACATATCCTAACAAGTCCATCACAAGTATTTGCAAGTCCTTACAAGTCCTAACAAGTCCATCACGAGTCCTCAAATGTCTTCAGAAGCCCTCACAAGTCCTCACATGTCCTAACAAGTCCATCACAAGTCTTTGCAAGTCCTTACAAGTCCTAACAAGTCCATCACAAGTCCTCAATAAACCATCCAGTCTCAAGTCAAGTCTTAAGCTATTCACATGAATAGCCAACGGCATTCATTTGTCATTGTTCATCTCTTGATGCTTATGACTGGACTTGTGATTTACATGTGTGACCGGACTTGTGATGAATTTGTGATCAATCACAAGTACTTGGACGACTACAAAGATGTTGTGTACTTACGTGTTCTTGGCCATGCCCTTTTTCAGGCAGGTCTGCCCAACCAAAGCCCCTTGCTGATCACCAAGAATCTAAAAGAGGGAAAAGGTCCACAATTTTCACAATTCCTGCATTTCTCTTCGGGTGAAGTTCCTTGTAAAGAATTGACCTACCTACCTACCTTGGTCAATCTTCCGATCCAACCAAGGAAACGAAGTCTCTCCAGGTGTCTCTTTCAAGCATCACTGTATGTCCGATGTTGATTTCAGCCCAGTGTCTCTTTGAAGAAGATCAATGAATGTGGTGGTCTGCCTCCCTGGGTTCAACGTCCAATTATTGCGGCGTTCAACTTAAATAGTAGTTCTGCTTCCGGTTTCTCTACCTACCCTATTCTGATAGCCTCTACCCTAACTTTTTTATTGGAGAAAAGAGAAAAAACACCTAAAACCATCACTTTATACCTTTTACCACTGACTACACGCAGACACCTCCATATGATCGTACACACAAAAAATGGCAAATAATCGGAAGCAAAACTATTTTTTTGGCCTAATGTGCCACAGTGCAAGGGTTCAAACCCTGATTGGGCACTTGGTGCTTGTCTTCTTGTCGTGAGCAAGACACTGTCGACCGTAAACTTGAATAAAATGGACTCTCTTCGGCAACCTCTTGGTGTGGCGCTGTATTGGGAATCACACTGCATTGCGAATCACGCATGTTAATGCTCTCCACCCAGGAGTATTTATGGGTATAAATAAATAAATGGTTGCACTTAAAGGGAAAATACAACATTTGCAAACATCAAAAAAAAACTACCAAATCATTTTGAAATACCTTGTTGGACTGTTAGTGAATGACAGTGTAAAGCATCCTGTAAAATCATGGCACCTGGTATACTGTCATTTTCAAGAAAAGTGGTATTTTTGTATCAATTTCCAATGCTGATTGGCCGATCAGCGTTGGAAACAACTGGCTTTTTTTCAAATACTGGCCCAAATTGACCATCGCACTTGTTTGCAATCGATTACAAACCTATGAACGGGTACGAGCCAGCTAGACTGGTTCCCTGACCTTACAATTACCCAATGTATGTAAACTGCTCTGTTTCTTCTTGTATTGAGTCAGGGAACCAGACTACAGGAAAATGATTGTTTTTCTTGTTTCCATAGCATTTTCGAACCCAAAACCTCAAAAAAGTCAGTGTAACTATATTTGCTGTATATTTCTAACCCCCGAATTCCATCCATTTCTGAAAATTACAGCAAAAGCAAATGATGTATATTCCCTTTAACCCTCCGACGCAGAAACTAGCCCTTTTGGGGACCCAATTTGGTTAATTACCTTAATTAAAAAAAAAATTTCAAACCAATTCTGGTGATCTTCCATCTAATCCTAGCCAGAGACACCCACTACGGATATATGCAGTCACCTTTAGTGTGTGACCCCTGGTCAGGCATATCTGAGCCTGACAACCTGGGCTAAGGACCGACGCAATTTCTGCCCATCCGGGGACCCACCATATACACGCGCACAAAACAACTCCGACGCAATTTCTGCCCACCCGGGGACCCACCATATACACGAGCACAAACAAGGTCACTTGCGGGTAGACAGTGCACGGCTTGACCACAGACTATGTATACAATACACCTCCTTAGTCCACAGACATGGCAAGATTGTGTTCATGTGGATACAGTGTTGTGTAGCCTCAAACCGTGGCGGTAAATATTTGGGTCCCCGGGGAACCCCTTACTGTAAGTGTGTTAGTAAATGGGCTTTCTGCGTCGGAGGGTTAATGATGGTCTGAGGGAATTACACGCAGCTTAACTTACCCCAGATATCGGCACTCCCTTCAGCACACCCTCGCTCATGTGCCCGTAAACCTCGGCAGAGCTGCGAATCTCTGGAAGAACAGATTTTGGAATGTCGAAAAAGCTGGACAGGAAAATAAAAAGTGAGGAGGAAGTTTCAATTTCAGACAATGTAGAAGATCTACTTTCTATATTCCAGGTTTCGTCTATGAAACACATCAACAAGAAAATATTTCAAAGACAGTACACATGACAAAAACTGCTACACTCAACCAAAAAAGGGAAGTCCCCCCTTCCAATACTTTTTTGTCTAATTCAAAAACTACTGGGCACATCTTGCTAAAATAGCGACTAATCAGTACAGACATTCCTTAGCAATCCAGCCATACTCTTTATTTGGTCCAAAACAGTGATAATGTGTATGAATTTATGCAATTTATGACAAATGGTACCGAAAACAGTAGGACTTTTGTATACGTGTAGTTTGTGGTTGGCACTCACTTTGCACGTACACAAAAGTGCATCTTTTTTTCGGTACCATTTGTCATAAATTGCATAAATTTGTACACATTATCACTGTTTTGGACCAAATAAAGAGTATGGCTGGATTGCTAAGGAATTTCTGCACTGATCAGTCGTAATTTGAGCAAGATGTACGCAGTAGTTTTTGAGTTAGACGAAAAAGTATTAAGGGGGACTTTCTTTTTTGGTTGAGTGTAGTTCCAGACCCACACTAAAAACACATCTGAAATACACAACAGAAAGTGCAGGGGTTTTGTTCATGCGTAACATGCTCAATGGACCGATCCAGTAAGTACCGCCCCATGGTGTTCTGACCAATCACAGCCGTGCACTAAAGTCCGACATGCGTGCACGCGCGTATGATGCCCGCGGAAGGAAAATGCAGAGTGGCATTGGGGAGGAGCACGTGTTAATTTGCCCACGTGCGCACTGGGCGGAGCTTACTGGATCGGTCCATTACAATCCAATTCCTATTCATACCCATGCCAAGACTCATCAAGCAAATACTCTACACACTCAAGTCTCCTACAGTAATGACACGAATGGACCTTTCAGACTATCCAAAATCTGTGTGTTGGGTCCAACACGGAGATTTCAGGAAGCCCTTCCACACTAGCAAGAATCCAACACGTCTGCTACACAGGTCTGGCACTCCACATGGGTAACATCCAGCCCTGGTCAGGAGCAGGGCATTTCACACTATCCAAAATCTGCATGTTGGGTCCAACACGCAGACTTCAGGAAGCCCTTCCACACTAGCAAGAATCCAACACATCTGCTACACAGGTCTGGCACTCCACACGGGTAACATCCAGCCCTGGTCAGGAGCAGGGCATTTCACACTATCCAAAATCTGCATGTTGGGTCCAACACGGAGATTTCAGGAAGCCCTTCCACACTAGCAAGAATCCAACACGTCTGCTACACAGGTCTGGCACTCCACATGGGTAACATTCAACCCTGGTCAGGACCAGGGCCTTTCACACTATCCAAAATCTGCGTGTTGGGTCCAACACGCAGATTTCAGGAAGCCCTTCCACACTAGCAAGAATCCAACATGTCTGCAACACAGGTCTGGCACTCCACACAGGTAACATCCAACCCTGGTCAGGACCAGGGCATTTCACACAATCCAAAATCTGCATGTTGGGTCCAACACGGAGATTTCAGGAAGCCCTTCCACACTAGCAAGAATCCAACATGTCTGCTACACAGGTCTGGCACTCCACACAGGTAACATCCAACCCTGGTCAGGACCAGGGCCTTTCACACTATCCAAAATCTGCATGTTGGGTCCAACACGCAGATTTCAGGAAGCCCTTCCACACTAGCAAGAATCCAACACGTCTGCTACACAGGTCTGGCACTCCACACAGGTAACATCCAACCCTGGTCAGGACCAGGGCCTTTCACACTATCCAAAATCTGCGTGTTGGGTCCAACACGCAGATTTCAGGAAGCCCTTCCACACTAGCAAGAATCCAACACGTCTGCTACACGGGTCTGGCACTCCACACAGGTAACATCCAGCCCTGGTCAGGACCAGGGCCTTTCACACTATCCAAAATCTGCATGTTGGGTCCAACACGCAGATTTCAGGAAGCCCTTCCACACTAGCAAGAATCCAACAGGTCTGGCACTCCACACGGGTAACATCCAACCCTGGTCAGGACCAGGGCCTTTGACACAATCCAAAATCTGCGTGTTGGGTCCAACACGCAGATTTCAGGAAGCCCTTCTACACTAGCAAGAATCCAACACGTCTGCAACACGGGTCTGGCACTCCACACAGGTAACATCCAACCCTGGTCAGGATCAGGATTGAGAGGCTTTACCTAGGTAGAAAATCCAAAATCTACAGCCGACCTATGTATGCACCGATGTGTAAGTCTGAACGAAACGCCTTGCCTATCCGTGTTTGATTGGACCCGGTTCCGGGTACTGTGGACCCTTGTTGATTTCAACACGTGTATGCAAGATATGATAGTGTTAAAAGGCCTCAAAAGTATCCTATGATAATATCCAACGATTTGCTTTTTTCCTGAATCTACCGAAACAACTTTTTTTTCCGGTGAACTCAGCTCTGGCAAGCGCCCACGTGGAAGACCCAAAAGACGTTTGATGGACCTCCTCAAACTGAACCTGCACCGCTGTGGAATTCCCACTGACACCTGGGGGGACAGAGCAGCTAACCGCTCCACCTGGGGCTCCACCATCACACGTGGAGCTCAGCTTTTCGAGACCTCACGCCTACAGCAGGAGGACGAGAAAGGACGCAGAAGGAAGGAACGGGCGTCTCAGCCTTACTCAACCCTGCAGTTCTCCTGCTCAACCTGCGGACGACCAATACGGTCTCGGCTGAGACTATATAGCCACGAGACCAGTCATCAACAGCGAGGGAGACACCAGCAAAAGTGACAACTCTTCGAATAGAGGATCGCCTGACGACATTCACATTACTACAGAAATCTTAGAAATAAACTAAACTTAACCCTAACCCACCTCACTCCTCCAAAATCCTCCTGGCGGTTTTGGAGGATTCTAGAGGATTGAGGATGAATGGTGATTGAATCAAATGAGGATTCTGGAGGATTGAGGATGAATGGTGATTGTATGAAGCACATGAGGATTTTGGAGGGTTGAGGATGAATGGTGAATGAAGCACCAGAGGATTTTGGAGGATTGAGGATGAATGCATTTTGAGGCAGGACTGTCTGATGATTTTGAAGGATTTGGCGTTGGTTATCCTTCATTTAAACACGAGTGCAAAGTTTTGGGATGAGGAGGATTTTGGAGGATTGAGGATGAATGCATTTTGAGGCAGGACTGTCTGACAATTTTGAAAAATTTAGGCGGAGTTGAAAAGCAAACAAGGGCCTAGGGGGTTAGGGTTAATAATACAGGCAGATTATATCTGGCTACATGACACAGACCTGCACAGTTTGTCATCCCACTTTAGTGTGTTGATGTTCATGAGCATGGTACGACTAGCGTTGGTCACGTCTGTGATGTGCAGACCGCCATCCTTACCACCTGTGAAATTCTGACCAGGAAAAAACACACAAAAAAAGACTCCACTTTAGTTCTGGACTGAAAATCTGGCAAAATTTGAAAAAGAACCTTTAAACATTGACACCTTGAAACAATAACTGTGGGATTACTCAAAAAATGTATGTATTTATCTGATCAGTTTCGTGCAAACGTATTTAGAAATACATAATTCTGCGAGGAGAAATTCCCAACTATTTTTTCCCAACTATTCTTATTTTTTTAAATAGGGATCTGGCAATCTCCCTTTAGCACTTGAAAAAGACGATGCAAACGGTCTCAAAATGAAAAATTTACTTGTCGGGATTTCGTTTGTTTTTAAATACAAGGCAAAAAAAAAAAAAGTTCTGGTTCTGGTTACCCTACCTACCCTATTTTGACAGCCCCTACCCAAATTTTGTAGCGGGAAAAATAAGGATAAAAACAAAACAAAAACATCAACTACTACCTTTTACCATTTACTGCACGTAGACACCTCCATATGATCGAACACACACAAAAAATTGCCCCCCCCCCCAAAAAAAAAACAATTCCCTACCTACAATGTACCTAACCTTTTTTTAAATGCCATGTTATCAGAAGCAGAACTATTTTTTTTTTTGCCTAATTACAGCTACCTTGTATTCAAAAGTCATGCACAGAAACTGTTCAAGGGAACATCATTTGCTTTTGCTGTAATTTTCAGAAATGGATGGAATTGGGGGGTTGGAAATATATAGCAAATATAGTTACACTGACTTTTTTGAGGTTTTGGGTTCGAAAATGCTATAAAGACCAAGAAAAACAATCATTTTCCTGTAGTCTGGTTCCCTGACTTCATTTAAGAAGAAACAGAGCAGTTTACATATATTGGGGAATTGTAAGGTCAGGGAACCAGTCTAGCTGGCTTGTACCCGTTCATAGGTGTGTAATCGATTGCAAACAAGTGCGGTGGTCAACTGGGGCCAGTATTTGAAAAAAAGCCAGTTTTTTCCAACGCTGATCAGCCGATCAGCGTTGGAAATTGATACAAAAATACCACTTTTCTTGAAAATGACAGTATACCAGGTGCCATGATTTTACAGGATGCTTTACACTGTCATTCACTAACAGTCCAGCAAGGTATTTCAAAATCATTTTGTAGTTTTATTTTTTGATGTTTACAAATGTTGTATTTTCCCTTTAAAGTAGTTCGCAATTCATGGTTCTTGAATCTGAAGGAAACAAAATCTACTTTGGATTTGAATGGAAAGCCCAAGTCTTACCCACATCAGCCAAGAGTCAATGGTCCCAAAGCAACACCTATTCTCCTCCACAGCCGCTCGTACGTCCGCAGAGTTGTCAAGAATCCAACGCAGCTTCACAGCACTGAAGTATGTGGAGAGTGGCAGCCCACACAGCGGCTGGAAAAGAGACCACATGCCATGTTCAATGCCCTTATCAATGCAATACATACATGATAATTAATTTGCTTAATTTTTTTGTAGTTGCTGTTTCTACCATCCAGTCATATAATCACAAGGTAAATCACAAGCCCCATCACCAGTAACAGGGAATGAACAATAACAAAGGAATGCCTTTGTCAAAGCTCATTTGAATAGCTTATGACTCAACCTCATTCCCATGGTGTCGAGCAGTACGCTCCCACCACTGGAGTGCCATGACACTGGACTGTCATCATGGCCTAGCGGTTAAGAGCACCGGACTCATGCTCTGGGTTTTCAGAGGCACAGTGGCGTGGGTTCGAGCCCGGACACTTGTGCCCTTGAGCAAGGCACTTAACCATTATTGCTTCGTCCTTCGGATGGGACGTAAAGCCGGAGGTCCCGTGTGTTGTATAAGGCCTAACACACGTAAAAGAACCCAGTAACACTTATCGCTAATGGAAAGGGTTTGCCACGGCCTCCTAGTTATACTGTTTCTGGCCTCCTAGTTATACTCCCTTGTGGAAGTCCTTAGGAGAAGAACCAACTAAGTACCAAGTACTACCTGCTCTCTCACCCTGGTATTGGATCATTTGCACATTCAAAAATATTGCACATGTATGCAAATTAGGAATAGTCTGGTGCCTGGCTATGCTTTAATAAAATCAAGCCAGAAACAGGCAAAGCCTCCAATCTTACTTAATTTAATAAAATCAACGTATGTTTTTGTGTGTGGTGTCTAGGGTAAAAACCCTACTTTTTTTTTTTAAGTTAAGGTGTTAACTTATCCTGCCAATATGCAGTGTCACATGACATTATTATTTTATAAGCAAAATTCAAAAGGGGGCGTTGCTTTGGAGGTGGAGTGGATGTAACCATTCACAGCGAACGTTCAAATACGCAACACATGTTGGAAATCAAATCACCAAGGACACGATTAAAATCCATTACTGCTGTATCCAATCAGGATACAAGAAGAAAGCCTCCCACCCAGGGGTTACTATTGGAAATAAGGTTGAAATCAAAGTAAGTAATCCCCGGGGACGAGGTTGCTTAAGGTTTGAATTATGATGGAATGGAATGGAATGACTGGTGATTGTCTTGTGCAGAACGCACTGCATCACTGCCATATCATATCACAATGCGAGAATCGAGTGTATTTTTCAGTACTCTTCACAAGGAACTACATGTATCGCCCATTTCAATATTTGCAATCATAATATTGGCTCTTATCTCAAGTAAACAAGGATATCAGCACTAGGCTCACAAAAGCCTGTTGACATAAGGTGCCCTACAAGGACGGAATGTGCTTGAACTAGCTGTGGGACAACTGGCATTTGGCCATAGTTTGAGAGAAACAGTAAAAATGCATTCAGTATGGAAAATAATTGAAATTTGTCAGGAAACAAAGAACACTTGAATGAAGAAAGTCGTTGTCTTTTGGTTAAAGAGGAATCAATCAACATTTACATTGTAATGTAAAGCAACATTACATTTTGTGAATCTTTTTTCTTTAAATGGCTATGCATGTATTGTATTGTAGAACGCCATGGTCCAGTGGTTACGGTGTTTGACTCATGTACGAAGGTACATGGGTTCGAACCGTACCAGGAACATGGTGTTTGTGCCCTTGGGCAAGACACTTAACTACAATTGCCTCTCTCCACCCGGGAGTATAAATGGGTACCTGTGAGGGTTGAGGACCGATTGAGCGCTGATATCGGCTGCCGCGTGGTCCCATGGCCTGATGAACGGGGTACTAATTATAATAATTGTAAAGCGCTTTGAGATTGTTGATACGATGGAAAGCGCTATGTAAGCACAATTATTAGTTATTATTGTGAGACACTGTCAAGGATGTGTACAAAATCATTTCAGAAGTGGGTGCACAGGCCGAGCAGAATTTGGGGTGGGGAGGATGGGGAGGGGACTTGTAGGGATGGGGGAGGGGTGATGGGGTTCTTGGGGTTCCACTGCCTACCTGCAGATGGTCTTTGTTTTGGCCGGGGGTCTTGTCGACCAGTTTCTGCACCGTGGTCCCAGTGCGAGTGTCAAGCCAGACTGATGGTTAAGAAAAGGAAAAAGAAATGTCACCTTTTATCAAAATGTAAACATTAAGAAAAATACATCTACATGTATGATACTGCTCTAAGGCGGTCTCAATTTGTTAGTTTCATCAACAGGAAGAGGAACATCCCGTCATCTGGTGCAAAAAGAATATTAACCTAACCACCCTGAATCCTTTAAAATCCTCTTTGCCAAAGTGGAGGAATTGGGAAGATTGAGGTTACATATGGCAAAAGTGAGTTACTGATTTCGTAGGATGAACTTTGTCAAGGTAGAAATTCTGCACTCCTACTTCGGGCACAGAATGGTAAACGTAAGTGCAGAATGCAGTACATGTACATGTAGCTGGCTAAGCAATGACTTTTGCCCCTGGGTCTTACTTATAGCTGGATGCAGCGGTTGGCCGGTGACCCGATCCCAGACTACCGTCGTCTCCCTCTGATTGGCTATTCCAATGGCCTTGATGTTGGCCGGGTCGATGCTCATGTTGCGTAGATTCTCCACGACGCGATTGAAACATTCGTAGCACGTGGCCAAGATCTCGTTGGGATCTTCCTCTACCCATCTGAGGAGGGAAATTGAAAGTTGGGTTCCCTGATGCTGTTCATCAACTTTTTTTATTTTTTTTTATTAACCCTAACGTACCTGAATCCATCAAAATCCACACCCCTGTTTGGGAGGATTTCGGTGGAATCAGGATACCTCCATATTGAAAAAAGTTGGGGGTTTGTCTTGCAGTTCTGCAGGATTTTGATGGATTCCGGATACCTCCATATTGAGCAGTTGGGGGACTGTGATGGATTCAGGATCTCGACAGATTTACTCCCGGCTGACTGGTGGATTCTGATGGACTCACTGGCCACCAACCTTTTGTTTACATTGCAAAATGGATTTTGGCGGATTCAGGATACTTTCTGGTAAAAAATACCCAAGGGGTTAGGGTTAATACATTTTCAACTTGTATGTTTTATTCCAACCAAAAGACCTCATTTTCAATGTCACCCTCTGAAAAAAGAGGTTTTGTGTTTGGCACAAACAGATCGGCTTTACTAGCAGACTGGCACCTGGTCCACACATACATAATGTATACTGACTGTTGATCAGGAACCACCCTTTCCTGCGAGAACAGAATCATTGTCTGGCAGCCAATAATTCGAAATTGTAAAGTTATACATTTTGTAATTCAATAACTAAAACTAAAAACCAATTTGTTTTTGGTTGATGACACATTCAAACATATTGGTCGAAATCTCATTCAAAGGTGACTTACTTTTGTATTGCTAGAAATAGCAATGTAGATTAAAGGAATCTATTTTTCAGGATGTAACACGAACATAGTTACAGAAATGGACTGATGACAGCTTTCTCAATATATTTCTTACCCTTCTTTAGGAAATGTCTGTTTAACTTCAACCTGATGGTAACTGAGCAGCTCTGAAGTCTTACTGGCAAATACCTGCAGTGGTATGAAATATTATCACTGTGTATTATAAAGTCGATTTCACTTGCACGTTCATCATTTTGATCCTGGCTTCTACACATGTACATATCCAAGTTAGGCTAGGTAAAAATAAAGGACCAGTTTCTTGTCCTGCCCACTCCCGTATTTCCACCCGCCTCCTTTTATCTTTAAAGGGAATATACAACATTTGCAAACATCGAAAAATACAACTACCAAGTTTTAACAAAATACCTCACTAGGATGTTGGTAAATGACAGTCTAAAGCACCCTGTAAACTTATGGCACCTGGTGTGAAGTCATTTTCAAGAAAATGGTATTTTTGTATAAATTTCCAACAGTGGTCGGCCGACCTAACTATTTTTCAACTGCTGCTCCAAATTCACCATTTTTTCACTCCAAATTTTGTTTGCTATTGGTTACATGTTCATGAACGGGTGCAGGCCAGCTAGACTGGTTCCCTTACCTTACAATTTTTCAGCATCTATAAATTGATCAATTTTATCTTTAGTGGAGTCATGGAACCGAGACTACTCCACCATTTGTGTATTTCTTGGTTTTTTCCAGCATTTTCGAACACAAAACATCAAACATGTCAGTGTAACAATGTTTGATCTGTTATAGTAACCTCTCAAATAGTTCATTTCTGAAAATTACAGCAAAAGCCAATGATGTATATTCCCTTTAAATTCATACATTTGCAATATAATTTTGCAAATTTTGTCACTAAATTGTCTTTTTATTGTTTCCAACAAAATTGTAGCCATGATGTGAACAAAATCGAGACGGCTCCTTTGGAGACAATTTCGAATTAGCAAAAGAGTCCAGAAAATTGAGGAATCCATCCACCATCTTGGAAAATCCATCATTTTGGAACAAAAACGGGGGGAAACTCCCGCTCCTTTAATTTTTACAAATAACCGGACGAGAAACTACATAGGCCCTATCCGTTTAACTCGGCCTACTGAAGTTATGCATTTGTAAAATAGCAATAGCATCAGATTATATTTAACCTCACCTTGCCAACAATTCCCACTCTACTCCTGGAGCGGAGCCTCATAGACAACTTAAAAATCGACAGAATCCACCAATGTTTGTTTGGTGCACGTAACGTGAGTATGTCATGAAGTATAGTGCGGAGTTTCGGGGCAAACTGTGCAGCAGTTCTGTGGGAAATGGCTTGGTTGTGATGGATGTTTTTGTACTTAGTTGGTGTTTTGTGGAGGCAAAAAATTGTGCGGGGTAAGTTGTCTATGACTGAGGCTCTGCTCTGCGGGGCATCATAGTTCTAGGAGTATTCCCACTCCACATGCTCCATAATCCCCCAACCCCTTCCCAATTCAACCAAAAAAAAATTGACAAAACTTCCAAAATGAAAAAGAAATTGACAAAACAAGACAAAACAAAACATCAATTTGAATTTGAAGACTCAAAATAAATGGTGGTTGTGTTGAACTTGAAAATACACTATCACCTGACTATTAATATTAATAGTCAGTGACAGAACGGAATGATTCCCATATCTGGCCATCACTTGTCATCCTGTCCATAAACCACTTAACCTGCAGGCTAGTATGAGACTGGTGTGAAATTTGCAAGTGTTTTCTCAGTAAATACTTCCTTATTTTCCCTGCCATTTTTGACTTTTTAGAACATATTGCCGATAGGTCACTGAAGGGACAAATTTGTGATGGCCAGATATGCAAATCTTTCCATAATATTCACAATCATAATAAGAGTATTACGTTATAAACAAGGACTTATATAGGCCTAATAATGTTTGTTTCACAAATCACTACAAAATGAGACAAGCCGGCAATAAAGTATTTCACTTTTTGCTTACCAGAAACCTTGTGCTGCTTGTTCCTTGATCAATCGCGCCAACCAGGGGTCCAAAATCAGTCTCTTTCTCCGCCATAGTATTGTTATTTACTAATGTTTGATAAATAACTAGCCAAAAACTGTCCCACAGATATGCCTAGGCTTCTACAAACTTGCAAGTTGCAGTTGCAGCGCTAGCTCCGGTGCGCCAAGTACCAATGGAAATGGCCCGTCAAGCAGGCCTGCCGTCAAGCGCTTGCATGTGCCTGAAATGGATTGATGCCAGGTCGCAGATTGTCACACCCTTAAAACTGTTTCGTGTTGGACCGGGCCCCCAGTTGACCCCGGATTTTGTTTGTTTTTCGAGGGGATAAACACGATCTTAACGAGGACCTCCCACCATCTGTAAACATAACCATACCACCCTGTGCTGTGTGCGCGTGTCCAGATTTACGAGTCTGCGACCCTGCTCTCAAGCGTGAGAAACAGAGCGTGGGGATTCAATTAGGGACTTCTAGGTGCAAGACATACACCTGCCTGCGAAAGCGCCCTCTGTCGATTAAATATGGTGATTAAATAAGGTGTTTTGCGCTATCCCAGATCATGACGAGGGTCGGCCTCGAGTCTTAGCTCTTTGTTACTCATTGAGTTGACTGACTGAATGACTGACTGATTGATTGAATGATAGACTGATTGACTGAATTACCAACTGACTGACTGATACGTGTGAATGAGACTTGGTCACCTATCTCACTGACTGAGGTCATTTTCGTGGCTTCCACGTTCTGTATGACATGTATACATGTATGATATGCCTGTATATGGGCGAGGCATGATACGTCTATAACATTCAAGTTCATGTTCATGTATGTTTTGTATGTAACATCTATACAGGTACCTTGTACATGTATGTGCGATTAGTCAGGCGCAGCTTGTGTCGTGCACTTTCGATACAAACTATGCAGGCAATAAGTCAAGTCTCCATGCAAGCGGCGAACATGAATGTTCATCCCATTAAGACTACACGGTGAGTCTGAAAGAATAGTGACCAGGATTAATTATTTTCCCCTCAAAAGCAATGAAATTTGACACACAAATAGAGTACGTATTGAACGAGCATGGTCTTCCACACATCTGAGAAAAAGAATTGAAAAAGATCCTTATCAAAACTAGTATGAGTGTTTTACTATATGAACCAATTTTTACAGCTGTCCTGCAGTGGAGAATGTTTTTTTTAAGCTATTCAGCTGAGTGAGAACCAGAGATCCGAGACTACACACATCATTCAAATTCAAAATGAGTTTTAAAAAATGAGTCAAGACTGAAACATTAATTTTTACTGTCAGCTTTGTGTTTTTTATGTGAGGAAAAAAAGCAAGCAAGTAATTTCTGAAATGCAAATGATGATTTTTGCCTGTTTTCCTTGGCAAGCCTGAGTTTTTGTTAATTCATGGAGGTATAGGAAAACCCCATGGTTCATTGTTATAAAAGGGTATTCATCAATGCGTATCAGTGAAATATAGAGGGGCAGCTGAATTTTGAATTGAGTACTGGGCCTATGATGGAGAAGAAATTCTTTGACATTTTCAAAGTTACTGGTCAATAACATTATGTTCCTAATTCTTATGTACTTATTTTTAGTAAACTTGTTGTGAGCCGCATATCATGTCTTTTCAATATTTTTCTAACTCGGTCACTTTCCTTTTTACTCACCCTGTATGATTAGCTTATTCTATGACCGTTGAAGCCATAGACGCCTCGTCATTGACGTCATCTGAGGGCAGGTCTTTGGTCCTCTGTGATCAGTAGACGCAGTGTCTTTTCATTGTCAGTGATTTGAAAATGACAAAACCTGCCTTCGGTGAGGGCGCCCCGTGCAAGGGGTTTATTCTGAAACAATTCATGGAAGCAAACTTTCGGACATGCAATGATTGCAAGGTTAATTGCCTTTTGTCTTGTTTTCTAAACCTCGTCCAAGTTGCCTTTGTCTTCAGCTCTGCATGGTTTCATACTCTCGTAACACCAAAGAGTGAAAATTTACTCCCAACGAATTTTCAATCGGCTTCGACTGAAGCGATTCTTTTTGAGTCAAGAGTATAGTTGAGTACTTTTTCACTGTAAATCGTCGACTGATTCTATACAAGGTGAGTTGCCAAAAAAAAAAAGCCAATAGCAGGACCAATTTTTGAATGAAATATTTCCTTCAGCACTTTCAAAATCTAGGACATGAAAAGCCCAGTCATTAGTCTTTTAGTAGTACTTTGTAAGTCCATCATGCATGGATCACAAAAAACGTATTTGTTCTTTCAGCAAAATAATTCACATGCATCCCTATGAGAACTGTTCATTTTGCTGAAAGAACACTTACTTTTCTTTTGTGTTAAAAATTCCTAAAAAAAAATAGAGGAGTGATCGAAAGCTTAATGACTGGGCTTTCATATCCTAGATTTAAAAGTGCTACAGGCAAAACTTTATTCAAAAATTGGTCCTGCCATTTTTTTGTTTGTTTTTTTTTACTCACCCTGTATAACTTCACACGTTGAGTTTCAGAGAACATGGCTCCAAAATGACGCCATGCACGCTCCCTTCCCCCCCCCCCCCCCATCCATCCCCTCACACCCAACCCTGATTCCTTCTCTGCTCATTGTGCTCCAACTTGGAATCCTTTTAATTCCTCCGTTGTGTTTTCCCCACCCATGCATGCCCGTGTGTCCCTTGTTTGTTTTTGTACCCCTGTGATGTTGCCATGTGATGTTGCCTGATATAGGATCGAAATGTTAGACCCTCAAACCTTTTTATTCGAGTGGAAATTATAGAAACTTAGGTCTCGTATATCAAGATTTGGTGCTCATGAAGCAAATAATTATGGACCTACAGTGAGCAGGGATCTCTTCTTAAAGGTACGTGAAAATTCTCACTTTTCATTTCATTAGCCAACTCCTAGAACGTCACGAAGCACCAATAGAATGGATTCCAGCCCTAGTTATGTTTGATATAATGGTAACATTTTCGTTTATGAAAAGACAGGCCCAACAGCGCAGTGGTCCTCCGCGCCTAAGCTTCCTGGAGTATGGCCCAGGTTCGATTTCCTGCCCTGGTCCACATGTGGATTGGGCTCGGCTTATAACACTGCAATTTCTTCATTGCCTTCTCTCTATATGTATCATGCAGGCCTGCGAACCACAGTGCTGTATCGTGCGCTTTTGTGGAATCCTTGGTTTCATATAAAGAATATAAATAAAATAATAAGACTTATAAAGAGTGAATAATATATACACTGTCAACAAATTTACAAATAAAAATTAACTGTTCATGAATTTAATAATACATGTCTTGAATACATTCAAACAAAGTTCGGTGACAATTTTGGGCAATTTTAAATTTGCCCAAATGTCGGTATCAAACTACCGCAATTTGACAAACTTTTTGGACAGAATGTGTCCCGAAATGTTTGCAGTAAATCGGTATATATGTTGACCAACATTGGGAAAAATACCAACCCGATTGCCCAACCTTTCTGAGTTTACTACAGTTCATTAAAGGTCTGAACAGTAGCGAGGACGGCAGAAGGAAGGCCTCGAGCGATATATGGAATTCAGAATACAATTTCTTTTGAAAGGAAAAGATATTATGCCTCCTACAGTTTTACATTATTGACCTATTAATCAGTCTCGATAAACATGGACGGACCACTCTACCCTAGCCTTGAGAATCTATGCAAAGAGCGAATATTAAAACGCGGCCAGCGTATATCTTTAGAATACACGATTTGATGCCGATAATGATTCCAAGATTTTTTTGGAGGAAGCATGACCATCACCATCCCTGGCATTTCACGGCCTTCGACTATTGCATTTGGTTGCTATGATGCTTTGTTTTTCCTCTTCATTTTTTCAACTAACGAATACTGATAACCAAGTACCGGTACTGACTTTTACCCGGTACCAGTGCAGAAATAAGTGTGCAAAATGTTTTATGGACGGTCACATGGCAAGTCCAAAAGCCAACCATCGAACTTGTCAATTATTTTGGGTTTTTTTGTTAATCCATCTCCGTTTTAATTACCGAAAAAGTTAGATTTGTTTTACTCGGCGCGCTAATCGATGGTCAAAACTTCTGGGAACTGCTAACCTCCAAAAAATGATTATCCAATCGGACCAATTATCTGGACATTTATTAAATGCCCTCATCTGAGGTAGTATTCATGTTGATATCCATCTCTGATGTAAAACACTCAACTGTTGTAGAATCTTGTCCCATCAGCGATGACAGTGCGGCATTCCTTAGCTTTACCATCGACTCGTCTTTCACGCTAAAGTCTGGCAAAGAAAACCGTCGTGCTCTCAGATTGTCAGAGCGATAGTGGACCAATCGCAGCTCGGTGTGTGGGTCAGCTGATATGACGTCACCACCGAGTTTCACACTATGGATCTTGAAGTAGTGCACGTTGATTGGCCGGAGAATGTTCTTGTCGTGCCCTGTGTTTTGCAGTGTAGGCAATTTCGAGCGCCACCGATTGCGCTCGATGACCGAGTCGCCGCGCGGAGCGATACGTGGTGGATGGCCGAAAAACCAGTTTTGAATGCGCACGGCGGCCACGTGGTCGAATATGGACTCGCTCAGATAGTCGGTGATCACGTGAGTCCGGTTGGCGTCCATTGGTTGGATGTACTCGTCTACGTCAATCTTGATCATCCAATCAACGTCGTGCTTGTGTCTCCAGATGCAATCGTTCTCATGAGCTATCTGTACCTCCAGGTAAGTCTTGTACGGAGATACCGAGTGCGCCCAAGGAATGACAGTCACGAAGCCTTCATCGATAAAATCATTCAAAGTTCTTGTGAGGTTTGACTTTTCAACTTGTTCGTTATCGTAGATGAAGACGTGTTCCACACCCACGTATCTGTGGAAGGTCAGCCATTCGGGAATGAAACTATCGGCATTTTTTACCATTGTACAGATAGCAAGTTTGTATCGTTTCTCGGGCGAGACTCCTGACGTGCACACGGTCACGTTGACGTAGCTGGTATTGGTTGGCACCCGACGCAGGTTCAACCTGAACCGGGCGCGCCAGCGGAACGTGTCCGGAATCGGGCAGGTGAGAACCACCACGTACTGGGGGAAGTATCCCGAGCTCCGGCCGTCTCGGAGCACGTGAGTCCGGCTGACCTGACCATCTGGGAACTCACAGCGGAACTCGTCGCCGTGCCAGCGGTGTTTCAGCAGCTTCAGCCCCACGAATACCACCTGGCCCGAGATGGGATCGGAAAAGACCGAGTGAAGGTCCGGCATCCATAGAGACTGAAGCTTATCGCGCAGATAACAGGTGTGGTCCCCTTGCAAAGGATCACCACGAATGTAGAAGCTGTCATCCACTAAAAGCGCCCTCTTGTGTCGAGCGATGTCGTGGGGTCCAGGGGCCCGATGGTGCATACCGGAACCTGGGAGCACAATGTGGTTGAGGAAGAACACGTACATTGTTCCCGCTAGACAGAGAAGGGCAAAGCACTTGCTCATTGGGGTCGATGGCTGGGAGATGCTTAGGTGGCGCTGTTTCTTTGGAATTGGTGAAGTGGCTTCCATCTTCAAAGGAAAGTTGCTATCGACAAAAAGTCAATAGTAAACCCCAAACTTCACCTTATTACATAGTGCCACCTACAAGGAATATACAACCAAAACAAGTTGATATGGATCAATGGAAAATAATATGAAAAATAGTTGAAATAATCAATCCTAAAATCAATAAAACGGCAACATTCACTGGGGCAAACAAGTGTGCGCTTATAAAATGCATGATTGATGTTCGAATTCGGAAGGGGAAAACCTGAGACCCCGCCCCTTGATCCTTGATTATGACCCTGTGTTATTGGCATGCCATTGAAAAAAAAAATCGTAATTGGGAAAATAAATGACTTCAATGAAACTATTCATCAGATGGATTTTTGTTCTTTTGGTCGGGGTGATGTAAATTCAACATTATATTGCCCTGCACCGGCGTATAAACACTGACTACTCTGTGTGATAATAATGAAACTACATCTATTTCAATTGACATTTCGCACTTTAAGGAAAACTCCGTGTAAAGATGTTGACCGAACTCATTTTTGGCTTAAGGACTTTAACAGCATCGCTCGTGTTGACACAGTTTTGCTGTATGCAATCCCGGCATTCTCGACGAAAAAAAAAAAAACTTGCGTAAACCGCAGTGTTTACACAGTCTGACATTAGCTTCCTCCCGTGGCAATGCTTCACAATAGACCTAATGCGCAGCATTAGCCGCCATATTAGAGGGCAATGCCTTGGTTTTGCTGTGATATGCATGAGTGCACGTTTGGTGCATTCATTGTTACTGAATTGAAACAATATAAACATTATGATGACCGCTATTGTCTTGATTAGGCTAATGTATGAACTTCCTCCATGGTATGACCAACGTTATTTCCTGGACTCTGGAGCGAATGATTCCATAAGCCACTAAGTGCGCGCTCTAAAGCTGGCTGATCTCAAAAGTGATCAAGCACTTTTAACGAAAACTGATATCCAACACACACAAAATAATCCCGGGGAATGTACTTGTTCGCAAGGTTTTTATGTTAATTAAAAGAGCATGCCCTGGTCTTTACTGTACAAATAGTTTAAGGTCCAGGGCGTGTAAAACAGAATTGCAGCGTGGACGCCAATATCAGTACGAAACAAATAATTGTGTGCTACTCTGATCGTTAAGTTCACGATAAGTTTAAATACGGTGGCTTTGTTGCATGCCGAAGGCGAGCATGCCACGTAGCTGATTCGTCTATCGACAGCAGTAAGCATGACATCATCAATATGAATTGTGATGTGAACTGAGAATTACTCCGTCTGATAATATGATCTCTCTTTTTATCTCAGATATCCACACCGTACTACAATCCCTGGGCAAAATTATTAAGAAAATGTATACAAGACAGTTTAACCAGGAAGATGCAGTTTAACCAGGAAGATGATACAAGAATATAGAACGGTTGTTTGAAGTAAGAATAGTTTTGAGCAAAGAAGAGTTTACGTGTACGTTGAGGAAAAATCAATATGATGCTATTTACAAAAAAGATGAAGTAAGAAATCCTTCCATGTACTGTACAAATTTCATGAGCACTGTACAATTTCATGAAAAGCTTGTTTAAGAGATAATAATATTGTATTTTCATACTAGTTATTTTGTCTGTTCTTGATACCATTTGTGGACATCAATTTAACATCCCAGCAGTATCGCCTACGTGTTTGTCTCAGGTCAAAAAAAATACACCGAATACAACAACTTTAAACAAGAAAAATCCTCACCTTACGCTTACCGGCTGTTCAAAGCAGTCCACTATAAACGCGGCATGATGAGAAGAGTGTTAGACTCGGTTGATGAGTCTGAGAAAAGAAAAAAATCATAACCCAACGTATGCAGTTATATGGCGGGTTCTCATAACGTCTCGGTCCCCAACCCAGACCCCCTGTGTTAATAAGTACATTATCCTGAAGTTATTTAAGAAAACCAACTTGCTTAAGATGTGACGTAGATATGATAACCCCATCAGCCGATGGGGTGGGTCGAGCATCAAGAGGACGGCTGTTGCATGTTTCATGCTGATGCAAGGACCATCCAATTAGTGCATGAGCATATCATTGTTGGTGCTTCATCAAACAGTCGTACGGTAGTATTGGCAGAGCACCACAATGGCCGTGTGTACTAAAGGCGCGGAGCCTAAAAACACTTTCCTCTTGACAAAAGTTTGCCTTTCGGATCAGCCGACTGGCCAACATCATTAGAGGGAAGAGGTCACTGAGTTTCCACGCTTCATGCACGTGATTGCATGTGTAACGCTGATGAATGGGAAATTAGTACAAATTTAAATTAATTTTCCCGGCCGAAATCATCACATTTGCATGGCTTTTTGCGTCTTTATTTACTGTGGCGAGAAATTGAATGACCCTCAACAAATAGCTTGTTATCCAGCCACCACCGTTTTCCATTATTTAAACGGCGCCACCTTGCGACTAAGATGTTTCCCTTCCTCCAATGATGGTTTCAGTTGAGTGTCTGCTTTCCATGCGAGGCATTTAAATCATATTGTAGCGTACGGCCATTATGCGCCTATCAAATGTCCCCCCCCCCTCCCGCGCTGCCCCAGGTCCGATGTCGGGATTTGGTCACGTTTTTCATGCCCCAGGGTGGGGATTTTGGTCACTCAAATTACATTGTTACCATTGACGTGCTCAGTGGCGTAGCCAGGAATTTTTCACTGCATGGGGGGGGGGGGGGGCTGGACAATTTCATGGGGGGCATCATGTAGATCAATAATATTTTTTTAAGAAACTCAAAATCTCAGTGGGGGGGGGCGACTTGGGGGGGGGGCGACAAGGTTTCATGGGGGGCTGTCGCACCCCCCCCCCCCCCCCCCTGGCTACGCCACTGGACGTGCTACATGGAAATGCATTGACTAGTGCGCCCTACGTATATACGTATGTCGGGGCATGGTCGGTGATTGTCACTTAAATTTTGCCCGAGGGGTGGGAATTTTGTCACTTCGAAAGTGACAATCCCCACGTCTTGGATGGGGCACCCCGGGGGGGGGGGGGGATAATTGATAGGTCATAGGCGTAGCCAGCGGGGGTGGGGGGGGGGGGGTAAGGGGGGTATTAACCCCCCCCCCCCCATATTTTGTAAAGACTGCCTTTTTTTCCATTCAAATGCCCTTTTTTTTTCAACGGGCTTACCCCCCCCCCCCCCAATAATTCTTAAAGAGTGCCCTTTTTGTTTTACAAAGTGCCCTTTTTTCTGAACAAGTGTTTAAACTCCCCCCCCCCACAAAAATGACCGTACTACGACTCTGTAGGCGCATTACTTTTACGAGCATGTGCTCATTTTAATAACTTTTTTTTTTCAAATTATGTGCAAACGAAATAAGAAAGTCCGAATAAACAGCATTCATTCTACTTGTAAGTTCCCCATGTGACACCTGAATAGCAAATTGAAGATCTACTTTAAATTCACGTTTTCTATTTCAATTTCAAAGTGTCAAACTGTCAAATCTTTGATGCTTTGTTGCTTTGATGTAGCATAAGTTGTTAAGTAACCAGTCACTCCAGAACAAGAACGTAGAAACAACAACAAATGCTGAATATAATCAGATTAACAATAAGGGGAGAATGAGAGCGAAAAACGTGATGATTGTTCGTTTATGTTCTAGGGAAAAAATCAACGACACAGAGACAGTTCGTTACATGGCATACATCCGATTTTCATGAGAATTTAGGTTCATGTTCCATTTCTAGTGAGTAACCTCGTGACTGGACTGTTTATAGAGTAACAAAAGAGGGCGGTATTATCGTATCAATAATCAATTTGCACGGTATTGAAAAAGGAAATTGAAAATGTAGTACCCTCTGGGGACGAGGTTGGAATGCAGGATGAAAGTTTCCCATCCGTGGATTACTATCGTAAACGAGGTTGAAAATATGGTAAGGGACGGAGGCGGAGCCTCGCTGTAACTTAAGGCATGGACTATAGGCCTTTGCGTTTTTGAAAGCGCATTTAATATTGAAGTTGTATAATTATGGTATACGTGCTATTTCAAAATTTCGAGTTTCTTTTCCAAACGACATTTAAAGGAATGTTATGTCCTGCAAAAATTATTATTTTTGTTCTTGTTTTTGCAGGCCTTTAAACAGTTTTAAAAACATGGTTTAAAATGGCGCGCTGCAGTTCAGAAATTGCGCACAGTATTCATAACGAATTAGGAGTGTCCCCTGCTCAAAATTTTCAAAAGTTGAAAAGAATTAATTGATTATTGTTATGGGTCGATTTTTTTTATGCGATATCTTATTGGACAGCTCATAACTAATGTAGTGCTAGAAAATTTTCAGTTCAAAATCTATTATTCAAGGTGCCACACCCGAAAAGCACGTAGGCCTATACACAACTTTAAGAAGCATAAAATGTCGATAAAAGAGACATCCATTCAAGTTGTGAATTCAAATAAATTGCATGAACTTGGCAAAAATTTACATGTCTCTATTAAACATTTTTCCCCCAGAAAAAAAAAGAATTCAATATTATATCCAACAGACCAAGCGAGAGGGTTACATGTGAATATGTACAATTCAAACTACAGGAAATAACGCAGATATAATCCTTACTAAATCTTGTTATTGCAAAGACAAAGGCTTCATGATACGTGTTGCAATAAAATAATATAAATTGCCTCATTTTTGTGACGTGAAATCAAATCCGGGTATTGGCTTTCTCAGCAAACAGAAATGCAAGAAACATTGTAATTTTGGCGTTGTAGTTTCCTTATTCAAGTTGTAGTTTGTATTTTGGCACCAATTTTCGCGTGAGATCGCTTTGTTTGGTCAGGTAACAAGATATGACATATGTGCTTTCAATGTACTTTATCTATTTTGAAGTAAAACACACCAGCCGGATAAGTCTTTTTTCTTTTTTTCTTTTTATGAAGTTTCCTTTTTGATTTCCTTGTTTTTTTTCCCCTGGTGTCCTCAAGAAGTATATAAGCTTGTCGGCGTATAAATTCTCACAGTTCTTCGTACGGTTTGATCTTCGATGGATGCTGGTCTTCGGAGGAGGGAACTCTTTCGTGACGTCATCAACCAAAGTTCGCAACATTGACCGGTCGCCAGAGGAAAGGACAGAAATAAAGGTAAATTGTTCATATAAATTAATATTAATTCAGTGTGCCTGCCATCCCAAATAATCAAGGAGTTTTGTGTTGCGCTGACGGTAGGGTATCTGTTAAACAGTGAGTAGTTTGTAGAACAAGTCCAGTGAGTAAGAACAACTTTTCTCATTTTTACTTTTTGAGACCGTCTCTTCACATGGTGTATGCCAAAAATCCTGCGGCAGTTAAACTCTGCAGTGACACCGCTCCGGTCTCTTTCGACCAATAGGGTGACCACGATGCGCGCGCGCCCCATCTTTAAAGCTATAGTCCATCATTTGCAGCTATCCGAAAAGTAGCTGGCGTAATTATTGTTGAAAAACATATACTTGGTTGAAAGATAGTAAGGGGACTAAACTCCCTGTGAAATTATTCTTTCTGGCAAGCTGTCATTTTGAAGTAAACAACGAAAGAAGGCCTTTCCAACGGTGCTTCTTAAGACGCACCGTAGGAAAATTTAAATTTTAAAGCTGCATTCGGCTCAGCGAGAACGTGTCTCGGACGCTGAATTTAGGCGCAATTCAAAACATGATTCAGCAACTTTTGATCTGAAATTGCGATCCGAGAATGCTGTTTTTCTCAGAATATACAGCTGAAGCTGAGCTGAAACTTTATCAGGTTAGTTGTTCAGCACCCTTCTTTAGATTTTGAGCACTTTTGTTGCTTCAAACGAACAAAATGCACAAATTACAAATGATGGACTATAACTTTAAAGATAGAGTACATGTATATATCATTGCAGCTATCCAAACACTAAAACAGTAAATGACGGCATAATAAATTGTTGAAAAGCATACTTGATGTGAAGATAGTAATGGCAATGAACTCCCTGTGAAATTCATTGGTTCAGTGCGAAACATCTCGTATATAGCTGAAATCGGCTGAAGGTGAACGTGCCCCGCACGTTGATTTCGGGCGCAATTCGCTGATTTCAGGCGAAACGAATATTTGAAAAGAGGGTTCAACCAACGACAAACCATGCTAGCTACACTATTCTACAGAGGATATGATGTAGTGATCGTCTTCACGTTTTTTTTTTTTTGATGGGCCTATCAGTACTGAAAACAACATACCGGCGTCTTGGAATTGACACTATGCTACACCATCCTTTACAGGATGCTAATTGGTACTGAACTTGTACTTTTAAGATATCAATTTAGGGCCTCGTACTTGAGCAGTGCATAACGAATCAAAGATTGCTACCATTATTTTGTAACACATCTTCATTGATTATACCCTGCATGCAGAAAACTATCGAAATACGGCTCACACAGTGGTCAAGACGAGATGGACGCGTTACGATGCATCCTGGCAGTAGTGCTGATCTTATGTGTGGCAACAGCCGTCGAGTCAGCGTAAGAAAAAAAAAACTTTTTCCCCCACCGTACGGTGACTTTTTGGAATCTTTCATGTTCTATTTTGGCTTCGGCTTATCCCAGGACTTAGAATCGTTTTAATGGAACCCAACGAAAGAAACCTCTATGCTTAAGTTTTGTATTACAACCCGATGCCTTTCGGAAGCTGAAAATTGTCCCATATGGGGCAAGAGTTGGCCCTATATTTGTCCCAGGAGCCGAAGGCAAGACGAAGCCGATGTTTCGAAAACGAAACTTTTCAAGACGGGCCCATTATGGACCGATCCAGTAAGCACCGCCCCATGGTATTCTGACCAATCACAGCCGTGATTTATGTCCGTCCGACGTGCGTGCACAAAAAAGTGCAACATGCGTGCACGCGCGCGCGTATGGTGCGCGCGGAAGAAAAAAATGCAGTGTGGCATTGGAGTACGTGTTAATTTGTCCACGTGCGTGCGCAGTTGGGCGGGGCTTACTGGATCGGTCCATTCCATTTACCTGCTAAGAAGGAATTTAATTATACTGCTTGGTAAATGCATGTGCTACTTTCAAGTGGGTGCATGCTCAACCCTACCCTTTTTTGATAAGCTTCGCTTTGCAAAATCCAGAATTGCCCGACGACGTAGCCCTCAGAAAAGTATGGTGAAAACATTAAGTGGAAACTATTTGCTGTGGGAAAAAAACTTTTCCTATTTGGCCAAATATACGTACCCACATTAATGTTAGCAACTTGCTAACGAAAAGCCTGCATGCATATGCCTAGGTTTGAAAGGCTAAGCTCGGCTGTGACTGATATTTGGGTCCCTAACTGTGGAGATTCCAGCTCAACATGTCAGTCACTGTTTTCTTAAAGAAACATCACTAGTTTTGATAATTAAACAAGCGATTTTTAAAAACGTTTGATCGGAACGTAAAGGCAATGATAAAGCCCAACCGGAAACGAAGCCGAGCTTTGAGAAAGGGCCACCGTGTCTATTTTTTAGCCGTGGCGGCTACCTGACCTAAGATTCGTCAGACTCATAGGAGTTAACATCTTTTTGTTTGGCAACCAGACTATATGCATGGGTTAATAGGACATTTCTCACTCATCACTTATAATAATAATTATAACAGGTTCTTATATAGCGCTTTTAACTAAGATCAAAGCGCTTTACATTATTATTACCCCTAATCATTGGGCCAATTAAACATTCCATATACCATCTCAGCTCCCTGGGGAGTATACAGCTCGATGCTGCCTGTTAGGCGCAAGGAAGCTAATTCAATCACAATAACCATCACTGCCCTCATAGGTACCCATTTACTCCTGGGTGGAGAGAAGCAATGAGTGACAAAGTGCCTTGCCCAAGGGCACACGCATCATAACCCCGCCAGGACTCGAACCCACGGCCTGCAGCTTTACCCACAGACCACGAATCAGTGCCCTTAACCACGAGGCCACAGCACTCCAACTTTTTGTATTCATCCGCAGGGATAATAAATGTCGAACGGTATACAAGACGTGGGGAAGTGAGAAGTACACCTCGTACTACAAACAGCGTTACTCCGTGAGCTGTGGCTTTTGTGGATGGGCGCGGTGCACTAGATACAGGTAACTTCTATCAACCCACTAGAAATGATTACATGTGATTGGAGCCTATGATTGCTGATGTTCCCTAATTACGTGACACGGCCCCTATAACGTGATGCACTTTGATCTTTCGTCTTTAGTACCTTGCTAGCCTAGAGCACCATTTGTAACCCAAATTTCACACTAAGTAGAATTTCATCAAGCTCTGAACCTTTTTCCATTCATTAAGTCTTGAGTTTATTTACCCCCCCCCCCCAATATTTTGTAAAGACTGCCCTTTTCCATTGAAATGTTTTTTTTTCACCAGCGCATACCCCCTTCACAATATATTAATAAAGAGTGTCCTTCTTTTAGTTAACAATTAGTGCCCTTTTTCTGAACAATATTAAGTGCCCTTTTGAAGAAAAAAAAATGTCGTGGCTTTTTGTAGCAGCAGCCTTTACGGGTGCCTTTTTTTTTTTAATTGCGCCCATGTATCGCTCTGAAAAGCGCCATATATTGTCCGTTAGTTGTGTAATGCGCGTACTCATCGGCTTTGAACAGCACCCCTATCGACGGATGGTACCTGCCCCTCCCTCGCAAGAACAACTTTAAACGCCCAGTTTTTAAAGGATATGGTTGTGTGAAAGTTTTAATTCAACTTTTAAACGGTCTTTCCATTTAATAGATCTTCATTCAAAACGCATTGTGTAGACTAATTGGGCGAATTCCCGGGCCATAATGTCCTTTTTTAACACTATTAAACCAGCAATTAACTGAATTACTTTAAAGTTTGTCTACATGGGCGTCGCCAGGATTTTTTCAGCGGTGGGGGCGGGGGGGGGGGGGGGGGCGGGAGGGGGGGGGGAGAGCAAAGGAAATTTGCCCCAAAAATTCATTAACTTTTTCATTATGATATTCTCAGTTTATCATTTTTCCGAACGTGAGCAGGTGAGCATTTGCCCTCCCTCCATCAAATTAATAGCAAAATGGCTTCGCCCCTCTTTTTCCTCTTTTTTTTTTTCGTTTTCCACTGGGGGCAACCGCCCCCCCCCCCCCCCCCCCGCGACGCCCATGTTTGTCAACAAGGAGATTTGGCAACGTACACTGCATGCCTTGAGAAACGTCGAAGTGCGCCACCGTGACGTTTATATTAGGGGTGAAAATGTGAAATTAAAATGTGAAAAAAGTTGTGAAAATTGAGAAATTGTGGAAAAACTAAATATAGAAAATGTGAAATTTTTAACAAGAATTTCACTCACCGATCGAGGTCACAGAACTTTAACTTTTAAGAAACGTTACTAGGCGCCGACTTCGTTGGTTGTCGATTGAGGGCGCGCGTAGCAGCGCTATTGCCAGGGAGACCGTTTTAGCCGATTTTCGGCTAACTTTGACAGAATTTTTCGTTAAAAAACGAATTTGACAAAAAATTTGACAGAATGGATTTTTTTTTCAGATTTCTGGCAAAATTCTGCAAATTTGGTTATTTGACAGAAAAACAGCAAATTTGAACCAGTACATTTGTTTAAAAAAAGCTTCAATCCTTTCAAGCAAATCCTTGCATAATGGGACAGGTTGGCTGTTCACTGGGAAGCGGACTTCGTCGTGGCCGGATTCGCGTTTTGCCCGAAATTTACCAATAATTTCACAACATATTTATGATGACCGTAGTACGTAGCGAATGACTAGTACGTTTCGTACGACTGCGTCTGGGCCGTACAGTACGTACTAGCGCAAGCTACAGAGCTTGCGATAGTACTGTACGGCCAGACGCAGTCGGGCTAGATGACTAGATACCAATCTGCATGTGATTTTAAAGCTATAGTCCATCATTTGCAGCTATCCGAAAAGTAGCTGGCGTAATTATTGTTGAAAAACATACTTAGTTGAAAGATAGTAAGGGGACTAAACTCCCTGTGAAATTATTCTTTCTGGCAAGCTGTCATTTTGAAGTAATCAACGAAAGAAGGCCTTTCCAACGGTACTTCTTAAGACGCACCGTAGGAAAATTTAAATTACTGAGTTCGTTTTGTTATTCGGCGAAGCGCGCGCAAGCATTGACACGACGCACACGCACCTCCGGTTGCTATAATTCGTCAGATCAGTGCGCGACATCGCGTATAGCTGCATTCGGCTCAGCGAGAACCACTGATCTCTATATAAAGACTGGATAGCTAATAAAGAGCCGCACAATGTACGAATTTGACGCCATATTGGTGAGACCGGCTGGTGATCTACAAAGGACAAGTTGCCGTCTTTATAGACAGCTTGATTTCTTTTGTAACGTCGCGGCTCACTTGACTTATATTTTGGCCACCACCACTGACCAACTGACCAAGGTTTACTACAATTTTTCTAACGTAGTGGTTACTTTTATAATGCCGCAAATCACTTTTTCGGCGTTTTTGAAATAATAATCACTACGGAAATGTGTTCCTTTTAGAACATCATAATATGTGTACGTGACCAAAATGCGCGTCAACTGTTGATACAACGCGCGCGTATTTTACGCGTAGAACGTTCGTATTATACGCGGCCATCTTCGTGAGACCGGGGGCGAATTGGTCAATATGCAAAGTCTACTGCGTGAATGTTGTATGCATATCCGCTATCCAGTCTTTATATAGAGATCAGTGGCGAGAACGTGTCTCGGACGCTGAATTTAGGCGCAATTCAAAACATGATTCAGCAACTTTTGATTTGAAATTGAGATCCTAGATGCTGTTTTTCTCAGAATATACAGCTGAAGCTGAGCTGAAACTTTATCAGGTTAGTTGTTCAGTACCCTTCTTTAGATTTTGAGCACTTTTGTTGCTTCAAACGAACAAAATGCACAAATTACAAATGATGGACTATATACTTTAAGTATGTATAGTGTATTTCGAGTAATTCTGGGGAATTTGGCAGATTTTTGATAAATCTGACGGATTTTTGATGCGCATTTAGCAGAATTTGGCTCTGACCTTACGGTCACCCTGCGTACATGTAAATCGCCGTAGTGTACTTCTCTGTTCTGTTGCATGTGTTGTGATAGGTAAATTTCACTTTTTTGTTTGACATTTCAGCATGTTCAGAGATTTGAACCCTCCCTCTAGGTACCTCACCATGCCAAAATAATACGTGTGAATTACGGGGGCCGGACATTTCACAGCAGGAGAGTTTGGAGGTTGGAAAAATTGACAATTTTCTGCCGCGCCAGGCATGCCATGCCAGGCAGGCGTACTCCTAGAACTTAACCTCACGCGGAGCCTCATAGTTCTTGGAGTAAGGCAGGCGGCCGCACAATTAACGTGGCTTGTATTAACTAAACTGCATCTGTCCGTACACACTATCACAAGCTCTGTGTAGTACGGCCAGACGCCCAATGCGGGAAAATTCGGCTAACCGATCACCACTTACCTGCTGCCGCCAAACATCCAAATTTTCACCTCACCTTGTGAATTCAACCAAGAGGAATCCAGGAAACAGCGTACTCCTAGCAAGGGCGGATCCAGGGGGGGGGGGGGGGGGGGGGCCAAAGGGGGCCATGGCCCCCCCCAAAACGAAATCAATTTTTTTTATTTTTATGTGACATCGCAATAACGGCAGGCAATGAGTACACCACCATCTTTTCCTCAAAAAAAAACCATTGGTTAAAGTGGTCAGAAATTGCCTCAGATCGCACCACAGAGCATCTAGAATCCAAAAAATTTTCAGGGCCCTTAAGCGGGCCCCGAACCCCACGCCGTAATTTTTTTGACCCACTTTTTGACATCGCAATAAAGGCAGGCAATGAGTACACCACCATCTTTTCCTCAAAAAAAACATTGGTTAAAATGGTCAGAAATTGCCTCAGATCGCACCACAGAGCATCTAGAATCCAAAAAAAATTTTTTTGGCCCCCCCCAAAATTATGTTCTGGATCCGCCCTTGACTCCTAGAACTATGAGGCTCCACGTAGTGGAGCCTCATAGGTTCAGAACCCCGCAAAATTGTTGTCAGCACAAAACACTAATTAAGTACAAAAACGTCCATCCCAACCATTGCAAGCTCTTCCCCACAGAACCGCTGCACAGTTTGCCCCAAAACTCCGTACAATACCTCATGACATACTCACGCTATGTGCACCCAACAAACATCGGTGGATTCTGTCTGCTTTCGGCAAAAATGATGAAAAATATGCCCTTTCCGCACTGACCCAACCTAACACTTGAAACGAGCACGCGCGCAGAATGATCGCAGTCATTTTCGGTTCGATCGCTCGGAGCGCGCCGCGGGGGGTATGGTGTAGGAGCGGAACGATAGTATGCGCATGCGTACAAGTGCAAGTACGTGCAAGTTAAGAGTCTCGTGTATAGCAAGCGTCCGAGGTTCGAATCTCGATGAAGTAAGTGACTGATTGATAAATAGAAATTAAGGAAAGGAGAGGGTGAGAGTAGAGGATACTCCTAGAACTAGCGGAGCCTCATAGATCTAGAAGCCCACACAATTGTCTGCAGCACAAAACACTAATACAGTACCAAAACGTCCATCAAAATGCAGACATTTCACACAGAACCGCTGCACAGTTTGCCCCTATACTCCTCACTTTACCTCTTGACATACTCACGTATCATGCGCAGAACAAACATAGGTGGATTCTGTCGGTTTTTAGGCCAAAATGATGAAAAATATGCCCTTTCCGCACTGAGCCAACCTGACACTTGAAACGTGCACGCATATGATCGAGCGATGATTTTCGGTTCGCTCGGAGCGCGCCGCGCGCGGGGGGTACGGTACAGGCGAAATGATAGTATGTGCATGCGTACAAGTGCATGTACCGTACCCCCCGCGGCGCTTCGAGCGAACCGAAAATCATCGCTCGATTATATGCGTGCACGTTTCAAGTGTCAGGTTGGCTCAGTGTGGAAAGGGCATATTTTTCATCATTTTGGCCTAAAAACCGACAGAATCCACCTATGTTAGTTCTGCGCATGATACGTGAGTATGTCAAGAGGTAAAGTACGGAGTATAGGGGTAAACTGTGCAGCGGTTCTGTGTGAAATGTCTCCATTTTGATGGACGTTTTTGTACTTTATTAGTGTTTTGTGCTGCAGACAATTTTGCGGGCTTCTAGATCTATGCTCACGCGGAGCCTCATAGTTCTAGGAGTAAGTAGAGGAGGGAAAGTGGAGGGAATAACCATAAAAGATGTAACTTTTGGCGCTAGAAAATTAATTGAAAAAAGTGGTGATCGGGTAGCCGAATTTTTTGTTCACGAAAAATAGACATTTGAAAAAGGCAGCACTTTCTGATTAGCCTATTAGGGCGAGTATGCTTCTCAAGCAAAAATAAACTACAATTGTACAAACTAAGCCTGAATGTCAAAGTCAAAATTGGACAAAGTTCTACATGTTCTTGTAGGCCTACGTGGTGGAAGTGTGGCCTTTATTTACAGAGGTAGTCCAGTAAATTGGCCACATTTATGGGGCTATGTGTAACTCAACTGCACTATGTTCCAACTGAACAATGCTCTCGTGCAATATAGGGCCTACAGGGATCGTTCACCTGTCACTCACGCGGCGCGCAGCATCCTCTCAAAATGACAACATGCTAACGCTGAACCCTTAAACAATTTTTTTGGGGGCATGTTTAGTGGAACTTCCGGTGTGTAAAACCTTTAAGTTTGTCACGTCATTTGATCTGTGTGCAGATGTACAATGTAAAGTGCTGCGCCGCTACACGGCACTATACAATCTTTGGCTAGCAAGTTGCCAGACTAGACCAAAACGATCTGACTATTCTGACGTAGCCTAACGGTGCATACCAGTGACACCACGCGGGCGCCAGCCGACGGCTGCTTTATGATGCACTATGACTGAGCGTGCACTCACAGTGCATCTAAAACAGACAATATGCGGGATCATTCATGTTAATATTATGAGCAAATTGGAGAAGAAAGGATTATTTTTGAGAAGGTGTGGACATAAATAAATAAAATGATTGTGAAAACACGTAAAACATGTTCCATAACAGGCGCGGATCCAGGATTTCTTTAGACGGGGGGCACACCTTTAGAGCATTTGCTCCGAGAACTAATGCGAGCGCAGAGCGCGAAGCCCTTACGGCGTGGGGTTCGGGGCCCGCTTAAGGGCCCCGGGAAATTTTGGATTCTAGATGCTCTGTGGTGCAATCTGAGGCGATTCCTGGCCCCTTTCCCCCTGAATTATTTGAGCAAAAGTTGTTAAGCTTATAAGGATTTCTTTTTAAATATACTCTTGTTTTTACAAATTTTAAGCTACTGTGTACTAAAGTTGCAAACCATGTATTTTCGACTGCATAATTTCAAGCATTGTATTAAAATAAAAAAAAGGAATTGTATTGACTTAGAAAACTGTTGCAATGGGCGATGGCGCTGGGGCATTTGCTCCAAGGACTAATGTGAACGTGAAGCAGTGTCTTTCGGCGTGGGGTTCGGGGCCCACTGAAGGGCCCCGGGAAATTTTTCATCCTATAGATGCTCTGTGGTGCAATCTGAGGCGATATCTGGCCCCATTTCAGCAAAATGTTTTTTTTTTTTTTCATTATCGCTTCGGTTTGCGGTAACACCATGTGTTTTTTTTAAATTTTTGTGCTTCTTCTGTTCTTCACTTGATAACCAAGTATTTTCGACTGCATAACCAGTTTCTTGCATTTTATTTTTGAAAAGGAATTGGATAGGCTTAGTTTGTAAACTGTTTTAAGGATGCGTAGGGCTAGGCAGATCTGCACCGAGGACTAATAATGCGGAGCGCGAATGTCTTTCGGCGTGGGGTCCGGGGCCCGCCTAAGGACCCCGGGAATTTTTTTGATAATTAGATGATCTGTGGTGCAATCTGAGGCGATTCCTTGCCCCTCTTTCCCTGAGTTATTTGAGCAATTTTTTTAAAGTTAAATAAGGATTTTTTCATAGGTTTAATATATACTCATGCTTTAACAAGCCTTTTAAGTTTCTTCTGCTTTTCACTTGATAACCATTTTCGTCTGCATAAGGCCAAAACAAAGTCTCCGGTTTCTGGTATGCGCGCGCGTCGCCGGAGCCATGCGCGTCGGCAAAATGAAAAAGTTTTTTTTTCAATGAAAGATGATGTCTCAAAACCGCCAAACTCACTGGTTTGACTGGAATCCTGCTGCTGCACAATTTTAACGTGTTTTTAGATGGGGTTATGATCGAGAATAAGCTTTATGTGGCCTCTCTGGTCTCCCATAATATTTGCCCTAAGTTTAGTCGGGCAACATTTGCAGTCATCAGCCGACATTTGAAGCAAAAAAAAAAAAAAACAGTTTAAAAAAAAAAAAAAGCCGCGTCGCCGCACCACTTTTTGGGCAAGCTCCATACCAGAAACCGGAGACTTTTTTGGGGGGGGGCCTAATTGTTTTCGTTCATTTTATTTTTGAAAGGGAATTGTATAGACTTAGTTTGTAAACTTTTGCAAGGATGCTTTCTAATGTTTTGTATCAAGTTTAAATTTTCAGTTTATCAATAAGATAAGATTTTCTATGGAAATTTTCTACGGAAACGGACATGTTTTGGACTCCTTAAAAGCGCCGAAGGAATGCTGGCAAAGTGTTCCTACGAAAACCGTACTCTTGACCAATAGTGTGGTACAAAGAGCAGCGTACAACGTGTATGTCACGCTCATCGCGCCAAACACAGCACATCGGCTGTCACACGTGCGTGTTTTTCGTGCCGGTACGGTACGTACGCTCATATGAATCGCATAAACCGATATACTATGCAGGGTTACGTATGGAGTACGTACGGTTTGCAGGCCGCTGATGTTTAATATCGGCACCGGTATTTTTGTTAGGTTGCCCTCTCCTTCCCGCCATTTCTCTCACCTCCCCCTCCTTTCCCCCCTGTTTTATTCATTTTAATTTGACGGGGGGTACGTGCCCCCGCGGCCCACCCCTGGATCCGCGCCTGCATAACAACACCAGTATAGGTTGAAAATGCACGTGGTGAATTGAATTGAAAAGATGTTATCACCGACTGACGTGATGCATGCGGCCTATACAACTACAAGGCTACTTGGACTTCTCTACTGTACTTCATGAAGTCAGGTGCTGGCCTCACGGCATCACTGACCAATTGACTTCATAATGTAGTTTACTTTAGCCCTGTCTATTCGGGGCCGTATCATAAGTCCGACGCCTCTTAGGTCCGAGACCTCATATGAGGCGTCGGACTTGTGAGGCATACAATATTTATTACGCCTCATAGTTCCGACGCCTCATAAGTCCGACGCCTCATAAGTCCGACGTCAGAAAAACGAAGCGTATGAGGCGTCGGACCTATGAGGCGTCGGAGCTATGAGGCGTCGTACCTGTATGAGGCATCGGACTTACATGTATGGGGCGTTGGACCTATGAGGCGTCAGACTAATGGGCCTTTATTTGGTAGGGGGATGCGATTTTGTCTGTAACACTGAACCACAATGTTGGTACACCTATATTATCGGGGTCCGCTCATAAGTCAGACGCCTCATAGGTCCGACTCCTCATAAGACTGACAAAATCACATCCCCAACCAAATACAGGCCCATAAGTCCAACGCCTCATAGGCCTGACGCCTCATAGGACTTATGACGGCCCCAAATTATCGCAATCAATCAAACAGGACACAGATGCACAAAGCTGCATCAGTTATACGTGAAGTTATGATCCATTCTACACCCTATTTCTGATACAGGAGTTAACTTCCAGAACACGGAAACACGTCAATGATGCGATATTTGTTGGGTATCAAACGTACATTCCATTTTTTTATGCTGGTGTAAATTCGGTGTGGTCGTAAACGCAATTTCCAATTTTCTGCTAGTAGAAATTTGGAAATTTGATTTGGTCGTTAATGCAATTTCCGATTTTCTGCTAGTAGAAATTCAGGAATTTGGTTTAGTCGTAAACGCAATTTCTGATTTTCTGCTAGTAGAAATTCGGAAATTTGGTTTGGTCGTAAATGCAATTTCCGATTTTCTGCTGGTAGAAATTCAGAAATTTGGTTGGTCCTTTTTTGGACCGCCTGTGTACAAGAAATTAAAAAATCCTAATTTTTGATAATAGAAAAATAAAAATTCAGAAAACAGGACTTCATTTCAACCATAATTCTGTTTTTGTTCTAGCAGATTTTTGAGAAAATGGGTTGTCCACTTTTGGTCCTCCATAATACTACGAGGCGTCGGACTTAAGAGCGGACCCCGTCTATTCCACATGTTTGTCTTTATTTTTCTGACAGGCAAGTTTCCTGTGATGCCTACCGTCGCAAGTTGTACACCAGCATTCGAAATGAGTGTTGCCCTGGCTGGCGTAGAGACCGCTATGGAAGGTGCTCTATGGGTAGGTGGGCTTTTATACTAAAAGCTACTGGAGTGTCATGGCCTAGCGGTTAAGAGCACCGCACCGGACGCATGTCCTGGTGTTTCAGAGGCAGCAGAATGTGGGTTTGAGCCCGGGGCTGGACACTTAAACTTAAAGCAAGGCACTTAACCATTATTGCTTCGTCCTTCGGATGGGACGTAAAGCCGTAGGGCCCATGTGTTGTGTAATGCAATGCAGGTAAAAGAACCTAGTAACACTTATCGCTAAGAGAAGGGGTTTGCCCCAGTGTTTGTGGCCTCCTGTTAAAACTCCCCTGCGGAGTATTTAGGAGAAGAACCAACCAAGTACCAAGTAGGCCTACTGGTTCTTTGTCCCTTCATTATCCTTCTGACTTTGAATGTAGGGACAGGTAGCAGGCAATGCAAGAGGATTTCCTTCTATTTTGGATGCAGTACGAATATTAATTAACTCAACTGCTGTTTGAACAGTCACAGACAGTCCAAAAATCAATCCTCTTCCCCTGCCACGCCTTTCACAGGCTAGTCATCAAAGGTCAGATCATATGTCAAGCAAGCACTGTGACTAGTCAAATTCAGTCAGACAAGAGCAGGCAAAAAGTAGGCTCAGCTAGCTTATCAATCACCTACATTCAAAGCACAGTTGTATCATGTTACATCAACAGTCACAGCCAGTCAATCCTGTTTTATGTAGGCTAGGAGCCCTTAACTGTTGAAAATAGTCACTTGATTGATTTGGACTGAAACAACAATTTTGCACAGAATGTATGTTTGCATAGGAGGGTTAAATATTGTGTATTACTTGTCTACAACTGGCAATAACACGTGTGCCAGTTGTAGCCCAGTTGAAAATAGCCTAAATATTTGACACAGCGTTTGCAGATATGATAGACACAACAGTGGGCGCTGGTATTTGGCCTTGAATTCACCCAAATGGCTTTGCCCAGTTTTAGATGTGGGGTAAAGGAATACCAGATCTGGGGAAAACTCATGCAGTTATGTAGGGACTGAAAACTCAGTAAAACTTTTCGATATTTGCAATGCATCTTGGATAATAACGGATGCATTGATGAGGCAATGTGTGCACCAACTTTCTAAGTCGTCCTCATTATCAAGAATTAGATGATCGTCTCTCCACACATTGTTACTTCAGTATGGGCTCCGTGCGCCAACAAAAGAGGGCGCGTTTTTACCTCTTTTGAGAGCTCCGTGGACGGGACAAACAGCGTGCGTGTACTGTACTGGTTCGCACGTAAGGTATGCACGACTCCCTGAATGTGCAAAAGCTGCACCGCGTCTTCGCATGAGCATCAGGCGTCGTCGGGGCGCAAATACGTTCAACTTGGGATGGTCTCCGAGACTAATCCCCGCCCTCCAATAACTTTGGATACATTCAAAACACGCAGTGGATGGATCGGGAACCAGTCTAGGTCACCCCCAACTCTCCTTCTCTGGCCGTTGATGGGGTACTTGTGCATTGATCCCATACATGCCATAGGCCCCCTATTTTGAAATATGAATTTGTGTGTTAAATGTTTAGGCTACGTCCAACTGGGCTATGACTGGCACTCATGTTATTGCCAGCTGAAGACAAGTAATATAAATTTTATTTTAAAAGCTTATTGGAATGAAGAAAGTTTTTCAGAATCCCTTGTTAGAGACCAGTTTCATTACTCATTATATTAAAGGGAATATACATCATTTGCTTTTGCTGTAATTTTCAGAAATGGATGGAATTGGGGGGTTGGAAATATATAGCAAATATAGTAGTTACACTGACTTTTTTGAGGTTTTGGGTTCGATAATGCTTAGATAAAAACCAAGAAAAGCAAACATTTTCCTGTAGTCTGGTTCCCTGACTCCATATAAGAAGAAACAGAGCAGTTTACATACATTGGGGAATTGTAAGGTCAGGGAACCAGTCTAGCTGGCTTGTACCCGTTCATAGATGTGTAATCGATTGCAAACAAGTGTGATGGTCAATTGGGGCCAGCGTTGGAAATTGATACAAAAATACCACTTTTCTTGAAATGACAGTATACCAGGTGCCATGATTTTACAAGATGCTTTACACTGTCATTCACTAACAGTCCAGCAAGGTATTTCAAAATGATTTGGTTGGTTTTATTTTTTGATGTTTGCAAATGTTGTATTTTCCCTTTAAACATGTATTGTTAGGCCCTAATATGACCCTGCCAATATTGGCCAGTCAAAATCAAGATTTTAAGCTCACCCCTCCAACATTGACCAATCACAATCATTCTTCTGGTACATGTACCAGGGGGAAAAAAACCCAAGACTTTTTCTTATTTCATTTCTTAAGTTAAAAAAAAAATTCTTATTCACGAATCAGTTGTACTAAACATGCCAATTGAATGTTAATTCACAGCCATATGCAGCACTTATTGTCCATCATCACGTGGATCATGCGTCAGACCTAACGTGTACCGGTGTAGGCCCGGATACTATGGTAGAACCTGCCAATATGGTGAGTACGAGTCACAAACACACCCGTATAGGTCTACTTTCGGTCTTGTCCTTATAGGCCAACCTGGCTGCTTGCAGTTCACTCATACATGTAGCGTGCATACACATGTATGTGACCTGTTCTGTCAAAATCAGACTTTTCTGGGCATAAGGTCGAAAATGATATTTTTACATATTGTTAATTAATGTATATGTTCTTTTTCCTTTTAATAGGTGGTTTAATTTTTGAAACCGGTCATTCCTGGGCAGAGTTATGCTATTTTGAAGTTCATTGTGTCGAAAAGTAGAAAACGGAGAAAATGGCCACGAACGTCACAGAACAGTTATTTCTTTAACTGATATACCTTATCAAAATCATCAAAAATAGTGTATGTAGAGTTCAAATTAGGGTTTCAAACTTTTATAATATATTTTAGACATGTTCAGGATTACAAATATGCAAACATTTGAAAATCGATAAAAGTCACCCCCACAGCGTTGTTTGGCCCTATCTCAATTTCAACCTCTGCCCAGAAGCGTCTGCTTTTGACAGAACAGGCTCATCCGATTTTTTTCATTTTCCATTGTTGCGGACAGCCAGACATATATTTTGTGTGGGAAGCACACCCTTTCTGGCTATAAATACATGTAAATATTAAAATGTTGGTAGTTGTAAAGATGTACATGTCACACAAAAACACCTGTGTTTTTTTTTGTGGAATGACCTTCTTTCTATATTGTTTGGTTTCCATTCCGACCGAACCTTATCAACTGCATTGTTTTTTAAATTTTGTTTTTTAAATTGTTGCCGACCGACCGACCCTACCTCAGAGCGAAACACAATATGAGATAATAAAAATGAAAAGCGATGACCTATTCAGCACGCCTGGGCATTTTTGGGATATAAACGTCGGTCCTCAAATTCATGTCACATTGTAAATTCATCTAAAAACAAAAATTAATTTAACATTTTATAAAACGATGGCAGGTTTATCTTCCCGCTCATGGTATTCACTCCTTCATATTTTTTTCACCCCTCAGCCGAAAGTTTTGAGGGGTATTGTCATCGCCTACGGCGCCCGTCCGTCCGGCGGGCTGTCTGTCATGTCTGTCTGTTCTGTCCGTCCGGGCAGCTTAGTTTCCGGATGATAACTTGAGTTAGAAATGTTGTTGGGGATTGTAACTTCTGTAGGGGGTTGCCCTTGGGAGTAGACAAGTTGGGAATGGTTTGGGGGTCAAAAGGTCCAAGGTCAAGGTCACCGTGATGGGATAAAGGTTAATGGTTTCCGGATGATAACTTGACTCTTGCTGAGGGGCTTCAACAGCAATGCTGTTATTTTTTTCTTCATTTCTTGTTACAGACGTCAATGAATGTCAGAGTGAGTCGTCCAACCAATGCTCACAGATTTGCATCAACACGGTCGGGAGCTACCGATGTGAATGCAACACAGGATACCTTCTGGCCAGCAACGGTCGCAGCTGCACCGGTACGATATTGTGGTCTCTTGCTTTCTGGAGTTTCTTTTCATTATTCTCACACACTATTTTATTCCCTGACTGCAGTCACTTTAGGAGATTGCAATGAGTGAAATAACTTTTTAATCCTGTCCTCTGTTTCAGCCGGATACAGTGAATTTTTACTTTTTTGGGGCCAAAACTGAAAACTGGGACCAGACATTTTAGTGTGACATTTACTCAATTGAATAGATCCAGTTTTCACTCTAGTTTCCACTGGAATGATTTTTTTTTCAGAGTATTTCAATTTGAAATTGGATAGATTTCCTCTCTAAATCGTGTAGTCACTTGTCATTCTTTTGAAATTAGAATGTACTATACTCTTTGTCTAGAAAAAAAGATTACATGTAAGCTTTATAGTTATTATTCGGATATTTCAACAGGCATCTGGCCTAAAGCTAGTCTATGGAATATCCCCTTGCACAGCAAGGGTCTATGATGCGAGCAGTTTCGGCGATTAGTTATGCAAAACAAGACTGCATCTTGCCTCGAGATTCTGACCATTCTATCTGGTCTTCTGGGAACCGGTTGTAGTACAAAAACATGTCATCCAAATTGACCAATCAACAGCTTAGTCCACATGTTTGATCGAAATGACGTCACAATTTCTAAAGTCAATTGCAATGACGGGTTCAATTTGCATTGCTCGCAGATATTGGACATTGGATTAATACAGAACATTTATTTTGTGGATAAATTAGTTGTAATCGGAAAAAGATGGATGACTGTCATTATAATGGGTGCAGTTTTTTTTGTTTTTTTAGTTTCCCATCATAATACGGTAGCAATTAAAGATATGGTCCATCATTTGTAAATTGTGCATTTTGTTCTTTTGAAGCAACAAAAGCGCTCAAAATCTAATGAAGGATACTGAACAACTAACCTGATGAAGTTTCAGCTCAGCTTCAGCTGTATATCCCGAGAAAAACGGCATTCTAGGATCTCAATTTCAAATCAAAAGTTGCTGAATCATGTTTTGAATTGGGCCTGAATTCAGCATCCGAGTCACGTTCTCACTGAGCCGATTGCAGCTATACGCGATGTCGCGCACTGATCCGACGAATTATAGCAACCGCGCGCGCGTGTGCGTCGTGCCAATATGCTTGCGCGCTTTTTGCCAAATCACAAAACGAACTACTAATTTAAATTTTCCTATGGTTTCCTACGCCAGTTACTTTACGGGTGGCTGCAAACGGACTATAGCTTTAAGGGCCTTCAAAGTGGGGCTATACCATGTATACACACAGAAGGGACATCAAGACAGATAAATGTTGCAGTTTGTTTTGACAAACATTACCAAGTGGGAAAAGGCACCTCACGAGCAGCGTTTTGTTGAATTTTGAACTGCCCAACATTTTTCCCCAGTTTTTGTTGGAAATAAAGGCAAACTTTACTTTGTGAGTTGGAATTTATTTTGTTTTATTTCACAGACATCGATGAGTGTTCCATGTCTCGCACCCAAGATTGTCACCATAGGTGCGTGAACACGCCGGGCAGCTACAGATGTGAATGCTATTGGGGTTACGACCTAAATCAAGCTAATGGGAAAGAATGTCGAGGTGAGGTTTATTCCTAACCGAACCAGAGGTGAAATCAACCCCATTTCTGTACTTTTTGGCTGGTCCGAGAGGGCCAGCCTGTCTTCTAGCTTGCACCTGTCCTCTGTGATGAGACGTTGCAGTTGGCTGGTAAAGAGAGCAGGGCAGTGCTATTGTAAAGGATTACCCCATAATTGGCTTAAATCCGTGTACACAAGAAGAGCAGATGACTTGCAGTGTAAAGCCGCAATCAAGTTGAACATGATTATGTGCATTCTTGGACCAGCCTTACTAGGCTTGCTTTGGGTCTTATTTTTTTGGATTTCAAAGTTGTGTTTTTTTCGTGCCGAGCTCTTGGACATTCGTAGAATGATGCCAAAGCTATAATTACACACATTTTACAATAAATTGGACCTAGTGACACTGCAGAAATTTTGGTTTTTGTTGGGGTTTTGTACCAAAGTGTCAAGAGAATTGAAGAGCCAACCAGAGAATGGTATACAAATATTGAGTGGCTCAGCGTGGAATGGGAGGAATATTATCGCAAGGTAAAATCTGGACTTTTCCATTTCACGAGGCGAAGTCGAGTAAATGGGAAAAGTCCAGATTTTACCGAGCGATAATATTCCTCCCATTTCACATTTTAAAGCCACTCAATATTTGTTTTATATAACTGACATATAGATCCTTGTCATTTGAAATATTTGAACTTTTATTTCAATACGAAACTGGAGGAAAATGTATTTCTCTCTTCCAAACCACCCCTTCACGAAATATTTGAACCCAACGCTTTAGCACTGGCTCTTTGGAACAATATGCGCTACGCGCGCACACCAGCACGCATTTGCACACAAATACCGCGTCATGATCCTAACTGTTGAATAGTATTTCCCATTCCCCATGGGCGGATAGTACTTTTTGAGCCGTGGCATGAATGGGAGCAATAACCAATGTCACGTAATGTGAGTTCCACCAATCAAATGACAAGGATCTGTATGTCGGTTATATAAATTGATATAAACAGTTGACACAAATATATTATCATCTCTCTATTTTGATGGTCTTATGCTCTTTTAAATCTGTCAACTAACCAACAAACACAGCAATCCACCTAGCCCTACTACATTGTATATGGCCACGCACTGGAGTAAACTCTGTGCTAAGGTTCATACAAATGTGAGCACATAAAGTTGGTAAAATTCATTGAAATGTTTCTGCTTGATACTCGGCATGGGGTTCTTTTACACCAGCATCCAATATTTTAAACATAAATTAGGACTTCCTAATTGTTCCTTCAGGTGAATTTGACGTGTAAATTAAGAGTGGCAAATTAAGATACAGATTTCACCAAAAGGAACCATTGGAAATTCATTATTTGGTGAAAAAGTGGGATGCTTGGGTAAAAGCACCCCCCCCCCCTGAGTATATGGCCGAAATATTTCCATGGAAAAGTGCCATCATTTAACGAACTTTTTGTGCTCACGTTTGTATGGCCCCAGTGTGTGGCCATGGAATAGGGCTACAATCCACCAAGCAACCAACCGACCAACTGTCCGATAGATCAAGAGTTTATTTACCAAGTAATTAATCTTTGTTTCCAACATTTTTCTTGGTTTTAAGATAATGACGAATGCGCCGGAATGACTGACAGCTGTGACCAATTATGCATGAACGTAGGAGGAAGCTACAGCTGCGATTGCTCAATGGGATATGAGCTCTTCTCTGGTAGACGATGTCGCGGTAAAGATCAAAGCTTTTTATTAAAACTCAGACAAGATGTAGACAACTAAAAATTCAAAGGAAAAGGAACAATCGCCAACCAGTGATCCTTACATCTGAGGTGTTTGTTGCATAGGTCGTGCATTCAAATGCATTTTCTTTGAAAGGTTCGATATTTCTTGAGAGTTGATTTATGATGATGTGGAAAATGTAACTGCTACTGTTTTTGGGGCTACAGCGTATCTTCCATAGGAGTCTGCTAGAATTATTTGTACTTCAGACCCTTTTTGAAATTTTCTGTTTTCTGTTTATTTTTGCAATTAACAGACATTGATGAATGTGAACTAGGAAGACCGCATCACGACTGTGATCAGGGTTGCACCAATGCCGTGGGCACTTTCAACTGCTCATGTGCAGATGGTTACCAACTTGGGATGGACGGCAAAACGTGCCTTGGTGAGGATACAACAGGGCCCCCCCCCCCCTTTTTATTTGCTAATGAGGTCGTTAAAACAAATTTTGCAAACAAAATGTGAATCCCAGGTTTTCTCAAACTCGTCCCATGGTGTCGAGCAGTACGCTCCTACCACAACCTGCTCTCTCAAACCCTGATTAAGGCGGCGTTTTCGCTTTTTTTTGCCGATATTTTCAATTTCCGTTCAAATTGTAAAGAAAAAGTCACCTATGACTGTAGATTTATCCTTTATGCAGCAGAGGATCCATGCAAATAAATGAGAAAAGAATCATGTCAAACAAGATAAAAACAGATATTTTTGGTGCAACTCCGGGTGTGTACAAAAAAACTACCCGGTCCATTAACGTACACACATGCCGCGCCTGCGGTATGGCCGTATCATAAATTATGTGGGGACATAATCGCATCCGAGAATCATTCAGAACAGCCACATCACAGGGCGCCTCGATTATTAATGCCGAGTAGAACATCCGACAGACCTTGGTCTACGGACTGTACTGTGTATGCAAAATGTAATACTGACCCGGCGGCAGTTATGTCCTACTCAGCATAAGTAATCGAGGCGCCCTGTGATTGGCTGTTACTCGGATGCGATGTCGTCCCTGCATATGAGACGCGATTCATTCGTGCGTATCTGCTTATTATAAGCAAAATGAAAATGGGGGACTGTATAAGAGGTTCGGACGTAATAATTCACATTGAACATTAAAATAGGTACTACACGTTGGAAATAATAAACATTAAGTACACGATATAAATCCATTACTTGCTATTGCTGTATCCAATCAGGATACAGGAAGCAAGTTTCACACTCAGTGGTTACTATTGGAAACGAGGTTGACAATAAAGTAACCCCTGGGGACGAGGTTGAGGTTTTCTTTTTAAAATTCACCTGTTGCTATGGTAAAAAAATTACCTTTGCACAATGTTTAGGTTTCAGATGAAAAGTTGCTTCATCGCGTAAATGAAAGTATCGTGTCTACTGTTTATGCACTTAAAAATAAAGTTATGTTTGTGTTCATGTTTTATGTACTTACAACTACTGTACTTGATCTCAATCATTTAAAGATTGCCAACAAAACGTAATATTGATAGAAACGTCACAACTTTTTTCTTCTCTGATTGTTTAACAGATGTAGATGAGTGTGCACCCCCTATGAACTGTGACATGATCAAAATATGTGACATCACAGGTCAAAAACCAAACTGCTCTTACGTCAGCGGTAACTTGACTGACATCGGTGAATGTGATGGTATGATTACTTCCAATATTACACCCTCTTAACCTTAGCGATCCCCAACCAGCCAAACTCCAACACCAGGGTTTGTTGGGATCTGTTAGAATGAGTACTGCACTAGTAAACTGACTGTGCTTTACGTGGGATTAGGGATACCACAAATAAACAGAGTCCAACTGTTTATGTGCACAGTTTCCCATATGATGTTGGGATTTGCAAGGATGAGGAAGGTTCTTAGTAAATCACCCTAGGGAGTTAGGGTTAAATAACACGGCGATCAAAGTGCATATTCACATGTCATAAAGCTCTGGATACTGTACATGTATGATAGGATATATTTGCTGGTGCCAGAGGGGCCTTCCAGCGATAAGTTAGTCGGAATCAACTGGATGGTACTTTGTGTGCTTTGGGACCAGCTTTACGAGGTTTACATTATCTTGTTTATCATGTATGATGCGTTTCTTTGACGATAAGATACGTGCATTGTTATATAGGGTTTTTGCATTTCTGAGCACAGTACATTGAGTGCAGAACAAGAGCTTGAGAGCAGAATTCACAAGCTTACTCGAGCGGGACTCGAACCCACGACCTTCTTGTAACTAGTGCAGATGCCTTCCCACTTGACCCCTTAGCCTATCCGGGTAGTAGTAAAGCCTGTTATGAGCTGAAACGACTCAGAATATTTCTACTCACCCTGGATGGGATGCTAGTCCATCACAGGTTACTCCCCAGCTAATGCTTTTACCTACTTATACTCCTGGGTGGAGAGAGGCACGTAGAGATGAAGTGCCTTGCCCAAGGACACAACATATGACCAGCAGCAGGATTGGAACCCCTGGCCCTCTGATCATGAGTCATGAGCCCTAACCACCAGGCCACACTCCCCACAAAATCAGGGTACTTTCTTCAATGCAATTCAATATCCTGTAGTCGACAGCAAACTCATTTTTTTTGCAAATGGTTTTTCAACTTGTATGTTGTAACAAAGAAAAAAAAAACGCTGTAAATCATTACTTTATTTTATTTTAGGCATGTGCAAGCCTTAACAAAAGTTGTTAATGTGGCTTGCTTTTGTGCAAGAGCCGTCCTACGGATAGACTGGTTCCCAGATCCTACATTATTGATGCTGATAGGTTGGCGGGAACCGGTCTTGGTGGGAATCAATTTGTCCACAAATCATTCCCAATGTAACCTGATTCGTTTTGCTTCATTGTCTCATTCAGAGGTGGATATGGTATTGCCAGAAAAATAGCGGTTGAAAACATCTATTTTCAGAGATGAAACTTTTCCGATTTTAATCGGAAATCAGACTTTTTGAATTTTCCAACGAAATTTCCGATTTCTTACGATGTGTCCCACAAAATTTGATTTTGTAACAATTTTTTTTCACAAAATGTCATTTTATTTCCATCAAAATTAAAGTCGATAAAAATGGCACGTTAAAATCATCGTGAACATAGTTTTAATCTCTTTCACCAGTCGTTATTGGAGTGTTTCAACAGTAGAAACACTGGCCATGACACTGATCGGAGCCTTTTACGGCTGGAAAAAAGGTTAAACATTGACGGGTGACATGGAAAATTGACTGTGTCGCACGTGCGTGCATTATGTACAAAAATGATATGCAATGGTAGCAGCGTACGATCCGCGCCGTACCATCCGCTAACACATGGCCGGTCGGGAACGGGTAGCCTTGTGAACGATCCAGTGGATAAAATCATTATGTTGTGCGATTTTTGGAGGTTTCAGATTTAGTTGTACAAAATGCAATGCTTTAAAAATTATGATGATTATCTCGAGGATAGCGAAGAGAGCATTAGCGAAACATTTCAGTGGCATTTGTTGGAAGAGAAAGACGATAATGCCTGATTTTTCCCCACGTACGAATGCAAGTGGAGTAGTGGAGTTGTGTGGTTTTTCCTCGACTTTCTCAAGTAAGAAGTGAACTTCTTTGTTGATGACTCCATTACTCTGGCCGTAATTCAGGCGTTTTATCCAATAAAAGCACTGACCATTTTTTTTTTGGTCGTAAAATTTTGTTTGAATAAAAAATAAAGCAGGAGTTGGTGTCCGGAAATTGGGCATGAAGTGTATTGTACATGCATGCACATGTGTGTAACTGCAGCGCGGCCCAGATTTCGAACACGTATTTTTGTTCGGCCTATTTTCCGATTTTTTTTTGGGCCATATGCCAGTTTCATCTCTGTATTTTGGGGGTTGGAACTCAACTGACAGTACATCTATAGGCATTGAACATGATGAATGCATAGGCTTACATTTTGTTAACTTATCTTTTGTGAATTATATTCCTTGGCAGATGTTAATGCATGTTCACTCGTAGACTACAACTGCACCGAGTTGCAGGTCTGCCAGCCCATATCGCAGAATCTCACTTGTGCATGCATTGAACGTGATGGACACGCCCTGACGGACAGTAGAGGAGGTGAGTGTTTTGTATCTACAGATGCAGACAAGAATGAAAAAACAAAAACCTAGAACAATTTAATCAGAAAATAGTCAACAACTGCTGTAGACGCATCCGAGCATCTGATCACTGGACACTCATCAGACCCACTTCACTATTGTCGTATCGCGGTAGAATCGCATTAGAATTGCGTCAACGCAGCTTGTGAAATATTGTCCAATTACATGATACACAAATGGACGCGGCAGGCGCAACATCTGAGACAAACAAAACTTAGCGCACAAAAATTCCATGGGGTTGTCTACGGGGCGTGGCTAACTCGCAAACGACCATAAGTCAATTATGCATTGTATTGTAAAAAAGCGACTGCCCCGTAACGGAACAATAGCTAGCAGAACAATAGCTAGCACAACGCTTTCGTCATTGAAGGGGGTTCCATGATAGAAGTGACAAGGCTTCACCTAGCTCGCTAGCTGGGGGAGGTGGGACTCGCCGCCTGTCACCCACTTCGCCGGCAAGTCCCCGGGCAATCAACCGTAGAAGCATAATTTGCGTTAGGAACTCGTGAGCAGACATACATACATCTTTGCTGCTTTGTAGTATAGATGTATCCGAGCGTCTGATCACTGGACACCTACAAGGCCCCCTTCAATGGAGAAACCATTGTGTCTGCTATTGTTCAAAACAAGTGGTCCATGACGGATATTCTGAACAATAGCTAGCTCTATGCTTTTGTCATTGAAAGGGGCCTTCATGAATTAATAGTCTCCCTGGTTTGGTCTATAGACAGTAGTAAAATATGATTGTTAGCTAGTCAAGACTGACCTGCAGAGTGTAGAACTGCGTAATAATGCTGAGCTCCCGAGATAACAGAACCTCAAAATTTCCAAATTATGTGAACCAGATTTGTTAACTAAAGCGTTTTTGATTTAACAAACTCACACCTTAGTCCACAAAGGAGCACATTTCCTGTTCGTTGTTGATAAAGCTGTAGACCACGTTTATTTTTTGTCCCTTCAAGCTGTTTCTGGCAGTCCCTCGACCGACCCATCCTTGCTACGACGCTGTGAGACTGTGAATGGGCATTTCCATTGCAACTTGCTTCAAGACTACCAACTCATCCTTGACGACACATTTTGTGAGGGTGAGTATTAAGAATATGTCTTTTTTCCGTGCTTATTTGTTTGGAATAAAGCAGCACGTAAAACACACCATTCTATAGTGTCCGTGCAGAAGCTGATGTATAGATGTATGGCATTGTACAGCCATGGAAGTTTCTTACTGGCGCTATTGCACAGCCTGAGAGACAGTTGTGCCAGTCAGCACAAACTCACGCTAATTTAGGCACTGAATACACGAAATGGATGTGCTAACGATATAAGTTGCGCATGCCACGCAATGACATTCAGCCTATTGTTTCTTCTATAAGCACATTTCCTTTGAGGTTAGGTGTCCTTTGCTGTGCATACTTACTGACGATCTCCAAGAAAGAGGCTTTGTTAGCAGAAAAGTGGGTGCTTAGCTGAAGTTGTACCGTTGCTATACGATGCAGCGCCCTCCAAATTGCAGCAAAGATGTGAACTTCTTCAAAACAAGATCGTACTTATGCATGGAACACATACTCATTCAAAACTCGCAGTTTTCTGGGGGGAGCAGGCCAGGGATATCATTGTCATGCTTGCTGAGAATCGAAGTGCGTAAATTGAATATTTTCCTCAACAATTTGTTTTACGGCTTTGGTTGAAACTAAAAACAAACATAAAACTTAAGGTCATTTTTGAGATGCTGATAAAATATTACAATATTAACGAGCCCGCTTTTTCAGTTCTAAAAGTGAAGTTTTACATATCGTATCCCACTATGCTTTTGGAAGAACATTGTTTACTAATTGCTCACCTGATTGATGATAACATTCTGGTGTTTTTCCTTCTTGCAAGACGGGATTAAACATAACTGCACGGAGATGGAAGTCTGTAGAAACACGGTGGGCGGTTATGAATGTCCTTGTAAAGCTGGCTACATCATGAACAACGACACCCAGGAATGCGATGGTAAGAGCCGCGGTCGTGTGTGTTGCCAAGAAAATTCTAAAGAAATCTAAAACATTTTTAGAGTAAAACTGCTGTTGATCAAAGCTACTCTCTTATAAGCAAATGTTTGCTGATCTTTGTGAAATTGAGAACTTCACTTTGAAATAAAGGCAGGGAGGTTTATTGGATAAAAAAAATGATCTCCTTTTTGGGCAATTCCACGGTTACTCACGTTACATTTTTGATGTACTTTTGAGATTCCTTGGGCTATAATTACCTTACTGAAAAGGTTTAACAACCGTTATCCCCATGGTAGATAGAGTAGACCTAGACCTACCTAAGCACCAAAGATGGCATCCAGAAAAATGTGTCATGTATGATAAGCAAGATGCACAAAATCGGTTACTCACGTTACATTTTTGTAACTTGATGAGTAACCGTGGAATTGCCCTTTTGAATTTCATTGATTGTCCTTTACAGAGAAATGGAGGTAATATAAATGTGACCAAACCTGACTAAAAGATTCGCCATTTGTCAGAACTCGGAACTAGTTTTTTAAAACAAATCTTGCACAGTAACAGTTAATTGCAATTGCGTTTTCATTGACTATCTGCATATATCATGCACATAGGCCTATTAGTGGCAGACTTGTATTTGAGTCGCCAGACATCGAGCCCGAGTGTGAGTCACCTCTTCTGAGTCTTGAGTCATGCAGGTCGAGTCCGAGTCCGAGTCACGAGTCACAAAGGTCAAGTCCGAGTCTGAGACATAAGTCACATTTAAGTACAATATATTGAAAAACAAGCCATGTGTACAATGTATATGCAGTACATAGATGTGTTTCTTCTGTACCACACGGCGCTTGCTCAGGGAAAGGATCGTTTTCAAAATAATTTGTAATCATGTTGTTGAAAAAAATAGGTAGTTTGTGGTATTTTTGGTAAAGTCCCGAGTCATTCAGTTTGAGTCTGAGTCATTTGTCATCGTGACTCGAGTTTTAGTCTGAGTCATGGAAAATGTCTGAGTCACGAGTCATACAGCTCTGTTGAGTGGTATATATATATACTGAAAGGCCGTCTATTATACAAGTGAAATTCAGAAAAGGACAGATGATGGGCTCTGTGCACAAGCACCCCATCAACGGTCAGAAAAGGACTGGTTCCTGATCCATCCACTGCATATTTTGAATGTCTCGAGTTATTGGAGGTGGGGATTGGTCTCGGAGACCATCACAAGTTGAATTCAAAGGTATCGCGCGCCGACGACACCTGACGCTCACACGAAGACACGGTGGCTATAGCTTTTACACATTCAGGAAGTCATGCGTACTTTGCGCGCGAACCAGTACAGTACAGTACGCGCATGCTGTGTGTCCCGTCCACGGAGCTCTCAAAAGAGGTAAAAACGCGCCCTCTTTTGTTGGCGCACGGAGCCCATGCACAAAGATATAAAACCTTCAAATGGGTTGCGTGCACAAGTACCCCTTCATCGGTTACAAAGGGAGAGTTGGGGGGACCACTGGGAGGGACATTCAAGGAAAATGTACTCCACACCATTGAGACTAGGGACCAGACACTTGGAGTGTAATTTATTCAATCATGTTTTCACTTGAGTTGTGGTTCCGAGTTTCAATTATTGGAAACAAAAAGCAGCTGGAGATCAGCATGGGCTTTTTGCTTTGTCCACTTGCAGATATTGACGAGTGTTCGACTGACTACATGAACTGTCCGGAGGGAACGGTCCAGATTTGTCAGACCAACGTCAACGGGACCATCGAATGCCAGTGCGTGGAGGGAACGCTCCAAGAGTGTGGCGGTAAATAAAAACCAAAATTCAGGCAGGCATAAGAGGAAACTAATTTTACAGAAATTTTAAAGTTATACCACAGCAGCTTTTAGAGCAAGGGCCAAATTGTACAATGTATTTCACTACATGCTAAGGGTTACATGCACATGGACATTTAATTCTCTTGTAACAAATACTATTTTGTTAAAGAAAATTCCTCTGTTGTTAAGCCAAAAAAAAAATACTCGGTCTCTAGTCAGCACGCGTGTCGATTTTAATCATGCGCGTCAATTTTTTTTTTTTTTTCTTTTTTTTTTTCAAATTGTCCACGGTAACTACAACAAAGCCCTCTATTGCCGCAACTTCTCAAATTGTTGTACAAAGGAATAGGGAAACCGCACCAAGGCAAATGATGGAGGGCACCAAGTCAAATTATGGAGGACCCCAATGTATATGAGGACACCAAAAAGGCAAAAAATAGTACCCACCTTGTCTGTACAATCCATGCTTGAAGGAAAAAAAAGCCGAAAAAAAGAAGGGAAAAAACGCATCGCCGCATCAATTCCAGAACTTTGGTCTGACCAGAGACCGACTATTTTTTTTGTGTGGCCTCATCATGCATTTTTTTGCTGTGCTTACTGCTTAATATCCTCTGTCAAGTACATGTAGATAGATGGAGGCTCTGTTAAAACAGAAAGTTGCGTGTAGCATCATGAAAATGGGCCCAGATTTAAAAGTAACAGGCACCATTTTCAAAACAAAATATGTTTTTGCTGAATCAAAGGAAGAACGATACAATAAATCTGAAGCAGGTTGTTAAAGAACTAACCTGCCAAACTTGCAGCTCAGTAGAAATACCTTTTGAGAAAAATGTGAAAATGCATCTTCATTTGTTTTTCTTGACGCAAAGGTTTCCGTCGATTGAAAGTGCGATGGTTTGGTTCAAGCTGTCGCAAGAATGTGATGGTAATTCAACATACTAGGAATGGTTTCATCACATGATGCTTGATCCTATTATTGACTAACATTCCAGTAGGATATTTCATGTTATAACACCTCGATCACCCGCAGATTCTGTGTCTTGATTGGCCGAGAGTGAGTCACATGATACTTTCTATTTTTGCTATCTTTCTGTGCACGACCAAAAATACTATACCCGTAGCAACCAAAGTACTATACCATTAGCAACCAAAGTACTATTTCCACGGCGCGGCATTTGTGTGCAAATGCATGCTGGTGTGCGCGTTATGCGTGGCACGCAGCGCGTTTTGTTCCAAAGAGAGCGTGTCACAGAGTAAACATTTTGCGAAGGGGTAGTTTGGAAGAGAGAAATACATTTTCCACCAATTTTGTATTGAAATTGAAGTTTATTTCAACTGCGTTAAGATTTAAATAATTAAAGATATTATAACCAAGCAGAATCTGTGGGTGAAGTGTTATAAAACAAATATTGAATGCTTTATCTCGTGGTGAAGTAAAACTAGCCTCCCTCGGTGATCCATGGAGCATTCTATTTGAATGTCCATGGATCACCTCGGGAGGCTAGTTTTACTGCACCACTCGAAGCATTCAATATTTGTATAATATTTTGACAGTTTCATTTTTGAATGCTTTGCAAATTGTGTCCACAACCGTTCATCCGGTTGTTGTTTCAAAAGATTTGTGCGAAAACTCAATTAACGATTTGGTGATGTTTTCATGACAGGTGATAATTGCGACCTGTGTGAGGGCGGTGTGCGGGTATGCAGTGATGAGAACACATGCACCTGCCACAGGCAATTCTTTCTGAACGCCGCCAACGAACCTTGCAAAGGTAAGCAATTTCTCTTGTCCGATCGAGAGAGCCAGCACAGCGCCCTCTTTGTGCCAGTATCAGCATTAAGTCCACTGCACTCAAGAGCTACACGTAAGTGCTGAGCAAAAAGTCATTCGAGGCCGTTTGCTCAGCACGTAGCTCACAAAACATTCCCGTGTGCGGTCAAATTTGCTTCCTCGCGGTGTTGTGTGGCAAATATCTACACTCTCCTGTGGGCAATCTGAGCTACGTGCTGAGCTAAAAAGATTAACTATATAGCCAACGAAAGCACATTACATGTATTCTTGTTTAAATTTGATGCGGTCAAGCTAAATGAGTTGTTTGTCAACCCTGGTCAATTTATTTTTTACAGATTTGAAAGGAAAACAATCTCAGCATTACTGCTGTGAAAATCGCATGCTGGTACCATCTTTAGTTCAAAAATTATGGAAGTCGAAACACCTAGAGATGTGATGAAGTGATGCGATGAAGTGGCCCTATTTTGGCCTGAATCTCCAAATGAAAGTTCCCGACAAACAACTCATTTAGCTTGATCACATCACATATTGGTCACCAGAAGTCTTTAGAAGAATTGCAGAAAAAAAAAAATCATAAAATCACGTGAACAGAGTACATGATTTCATTGGCTAGTTATTTGTTTTGGCTCAGCACACAGCTCAGATTGCCCGCACACATACATGGTGATTTTTTTCGCCTCGCGTGAAAAAAATCAAACAGGCGAGGTATTTGCCTCACAGCCTTTCAAGGCAGAAAACTCAGCAAAAATTCACCGCACACAGGGATATTTTGTGAGCTGCTGACCAAACGGCCTGGAATGACTTTTTGCTCAGTACGTAGCTCGCAAGTGTGGCTGGCCTCATGTAATGTTCATGACAGAACTTTTAAGAGCTCAGCAACGATCACGGAGATCACAGACTAGGAGTTTTGGATCATTTCTCTGAATCATTAATTACATTATCTGTCACATATATTTCCTTTCATAACGCTGCAGTTGCCCTAATCTTTATTCATAAATACCTAAGACAGTTTAGGCATTCCTATTGGTCGAGAGCCCGTCACGTGGCCGGTCTTAAACAGATGATAAAGACATGGCTGGCTGGTCTTAAACACTTTTGCAGTGACACATGAAATTTGGACTCCCATGAAATCCGGTGCCTTTTCACGTTTCATTGGTTGAACGTTCAAATTCCCCACGTATGCATGCGCAATACTACCAGTGAATGATTATTTCATAGTCCGATATTCACACTACACCAGCCCAACTGCGTTTTGCTCGACATTGCGCAGTACGCGCAACCATGGAGGTGGAATGTCCGACGTGCACGCAATTGTGAAGGGGCATTCCATATTATAGTCAGAGGGGTGTTTTGTAAAACATGAAGTTAAATGTTGAACAAAATGGTTAACAACGTCTAGTTTTTGACTTGTTTTGATTTTTGGACCGAAAAGATTTGTTTTTTGACCAAAAGGTATTTATGAATGGGAATAAATATGTGTTCGGTCGGTATTAAACACTCTTTTTAAAACCGGTGTGAGTCTGGATGGGAGATAATTACCCTCGGCTTCGCCTCGGGTAATTATCACTCATCCAGACTCACACCGGTTTTAAACAGAGTGTTATAATACCTCCGAAACACATATTTATTTCCTTAATATTGACTGTTCGATTGACTGACTGACAGACTTACTCACCGACTGACTGATTCACTGAGAGTCTCACATGAGAACTTTGAAATGGAAAATATCCTGTGATTTGAAATCTTATTCTGTCATCAACAAAATTCCTGAGAGTGTGTAGGTTTTTTATGCCCCGCGGCGAAGCCGAAGGGGCATACTGTTTCCGCCTTGTCCTTCCGTGGGTGGGTGGGTGGGTGTGTGTGTGGGTGTGAGTGTGTGGGTGTGTGTGTCCGGACAAATCTTGTCAGCACGATAACTTGAGAAATACTTAACATATGAACTTCAAATTTGGTTTGTGGATTGTCCTTGGTAATCCTAAGAAGCCTTTTGCATTTGGGGCCGAAAGGTCAAGGGTCAAGGTCACAGTGGCTGAAACAATAGAAATTTTGTCAGCGCGATAACTTGAGAAATACTTATGATATGAACTTCAAATTTGGTTTGTGGATTGTCCTTGGTAATCCTAAGAAGCCTTTTGCATTTGGGGCCGAAAGGTCAAGGGTCAAGGTCACAGTGGCTGAAACAATAGAAATTTTGTCAGCGCGATAACTTGAGAAATACTTAACATATGAACTTCAAATTTGGTTTGTGGATTGTCCTTGGCAATTCTAAGAAGCCTTTTGCATTTGGGGCCAAAAGGTCAAGGGTCAAGGTCACAGTGACTAAAACAAAAGAAATTTTGTCAGCGCAATAACTTGAGAAATACTTTACATATGAACTTCAAATTTGGTTTGTGTATTGTTCTTGGTAATCCTAAGAAGCCTATTGCATTTGGGGCCGAAAGGTCAAGGGTCAAGGTCACAGTGGCTGAAACAATAGAAATTTTGTCAGCGCGATAACTTCAGATATACTTTACATATGAACTTCAAATTTGGTTTGTGGATTGTCCTTGGCAATCCTAAGAAGCCTTTTGCATTTGGGGCCAAAAGGTCAAGGGTCAAGGTCACAGTGGCAAAGACAAAAGAAATTTTGTCAGCGTGATAACTTGAGATATACTTTACATATGAACTTCAAATTTGGTTTGTGGATTGTCCTTGGCAATCCTAAGGAGCCTATCGCATTGGGGGTCGAAAGGTCAAGGGTCAAGGTCACAGTGGCTAAAACAATAGAAATCTTGTATTTATTCTGAGATCATAGGGATTAGGGATTAATTCATATAAAACCTACAGAAGACACTAATGCTGTCAATGAACATTCCATTTGACCAAGGTACATGTAAGTTGATGTAAGAGTGGTGTTATGTCATGGAAACAGTCACGGTTGCGGGGCATTTGTGTTTGTAAACACACCTGACTTGTTTTAAGTCAGACTTGCAAAAAACAAGCACAAGCACTTGTTACTTTAGGAATTTTGACATAATTTTTATGCCCCGCGGCGAAGCCGAAGGGGCATACTGTTTCCGCCTTGTCCTTCCGTGGGTGGGTGGGTGGGTGGGTGGGTGTGTGGGTGTGTGTGTGGGTGGGTGAGTTTGTCTTACATACGCAGTGTGGACTTCCGAACAAAAGACGTCCACATAATGTAGGTAGCACCGACGTTGTGTGGACTTACCCCACGTCCACACAGTGTTTCCCCATTTCTGGAAAACAGGTTTAGAGGCATTTTTGGGTTAGGTTTATCTGTAGCAGAATGAAGAGAAACACTAAAGGGAATCATAGAAAAAAAATTGGGTTGAAAGAGTTTTCACAGTTTGAGAAAAATGAGTTTTTTCACTGGTTTTTCTTAACTACACGAAAGCAATGGAAAGTCCACACTAGTCATGTGAAACAAGTATGGGTGGGTGTGTGGGTGTGTGTGTCCGGATAAATCGTGTCAGCGCGATAACTTGAGAAATACTTAACATATGAACTTCAAATTTGGTTTGTGGATTGTTCTTGGTAATCCTAAGAAGCCTATTGCATTTGGGGCCGAAAGGTCAAGGGTCAAGTTCACAGTGGCTAAAACAATAGAAATCTTGTCAGCGCGATAACTTGAGAAATACTTAACATATGAACTTCAAATTTGGTTTGTGGATTGTTCTTGGTAATCCTAAGAAGCCTATTGCATTTGGGGCCAAAAGGTCGAGGGTCAAGTTCACAGTGGCTAAAACAATAGAAATCTTGTCAGCGCGATAACTTGAGAAATACTTAACATATGAACTTCAAATTTGGTTTGTGGATTGTTCTTGGTAATCCTAAGAAGCCTATTGCATTTGGGGCCAAAAGGTCAAGGGTCAAGGTCACAGTGGCTAAAACAAAAGAAATTTTGTCAGCGCGATAACTTGAGAAATACTTTACATATGAACTTCAAATTTGGTTTGTGTATTGTTCTTGGTAATCCTAAGAAGCCTATTGCATTTGGGGCCGAAAGGTCAAGGGTCAAGGTCACAGTGGCTGAAACAATAGAAATTTTGTCAGCGTGATAACTTGAGATATACTTTACATATGAACTTCAAATTTGGTTTGTGGATTGTCCTTGGCAGTCCTAAGAAGCCTATTGCATTTGGGGCCGAAAGGTCAGGGGTCAAGGTCACAGTGGCTAAAACAATAGAAATCTTGTATTTATTCTGAGATCATAGGGATTAGGGATTAATTCATATAAAACCTACAGAAGACACTAATGCTGTCAATTAATGAACGTTCCATGTGACCAAGGTACATGTAAGTTGATGTTAAAAGAGTGGTGTTATGTCATGGGAACAGTCACGGTTGCGGGGCATTTGTGTTTGTAAACACACCTGACTTGTTTTCCACTAAATCTACTTTAACTTTATGGAATTATGATTCCCATTTCAGTTTTGCTTCAATTGCCGTTTCTTTTCCAGGAGGAGGATGTGGGGAAATGATCCATGATTGCACCGAGATGGAGAATTGCGTGAATACCATCGGAGGGTACAACTGCACATGCATGCAGGGCTACATCAGGGAGGACGTCGTCAACGGAACTTGCAAAGGTGAGGAAAAGACAAAATGTCATATCTTTCTGTGAGTTTGGGCGCTGTAACGATGCGAGTACATTTTCTTTGGTACCTGTACTCGTACTTGTGGAACATATGGATTCCTTTGGGGAACTAACCCACCGGGCAGGTTTTTGTGTGCAACCTCTATGAGAGAACATGGCGAAAAAATCATTACAAATGGGCCCTTTTTCACATTTGTCGCCACCACTTCATTATTCAGAGTATACCTTAGATCTCACTACAGTATGACCCTAACAATATACTCTGAGAGAAAATGAAAGAAAAACTTAATAAAACACTGAGTTTCACTCACGAAATGATGTTAAACATTGCATTTTTAGTCAAAAATCTCCCTGTTTTGTGATAAACCACGCGTTCAGCCAAGAACTGGTCCATTAATATAGTCACAACGTTCAATAGCGCCACCTGGGAGTTTAGATCTCCCGACTTATTTGTCTTCGTCTCGTCAGCTTTTCAACAATACAGACCTTGTGATTGGTTGAGGTTTTTGCTCGCGTGTATTCATTTACAAAAGAATTGTTCATCTAAACTCCAATAAAATTTGCTGTTGCTCATGGATCTGTTTATTGTACACGTGCTAGGCAGCGCTACTGTATATACACAGAGCCCGGGAGCTCTTATCTCTATGTGTCCAAGGTCATCTGGGTGTGCGCTTTGGCCGGTTTACACGGGGTCCTTTTGACCACAAAGGATTTGATATGATGTACTTGTACTCATACTCGGAAGGAGGTACTCATACTCATACTCATGACAGTTAGTACCTGTAGTCGTACTGATACTCTTGCTAATGTTCTCTCGCAATAATTTAAATATGTGAGCAATTCCACACCATTGGGCCCAAAAGTGTGATATTTGAGAATATCCTCACCTTCAAATGATATAACTGGTTTTGTATTTTAGAAAATATAGTGGATATTTTTTGTAAACGAACAGACTGGACATTGGTCACAAAATGGCTGTCCCTGTTCGTACGTAACCCTACTCACATATTTTCTATTGATAACAATGTAAAATGGCTTAATAATGTCACTGAAAGTGCCTATTAGAAACTGATTTTGTCCTAAGCACCCTTTTCCTAGCAGTGTGTCTGTCCACGTTACATACGTATCACACAGAAAAGATGCCTGTTATTTTCTCAAATAAAAAAGATATCATCTTTTGTCTCGTCTTGTCCTAGTCACTTTCAACTTTAGCAAGGTATAGGAAAAAACTAAAAGAAAACACTGGCTCATGTTTTACTCTTTATATGCAACGTCCATACAGTTATCTAATTGGCCCATAAGTGTGGAATTGCCGACGTATGCAAGAGCTACATGTACATAGAGGAGAAGAAGCAGCCCTTCATGCGTTTGTGTGAAAGAAAAAAGCCCGCTTCAAGGCCCCCCAAAAAAGTCTCCGGTTTCTGGTATGGAGCTTGCCCAAAAAGTGGTGCGGCGACGTGGCTTTTTTTTTTTTTTTTACCTGTTTTTTTTTCTTCAAATGTCGGCTGATGACTGCAAATGGTGCCCGACTAAACTTAGTGCAAATATATGGGAGTCCAGAGAGGCCACCTAAAGCTTATTCTCGACCATAACCCCATCTAAAAACACATTAAAATTTTGCAGCAGCAGGATTCCAGTCAAACCAGTAAGTTTTGCGGTTTTGAGACATCACCTTTCGTTAAAAAAAAAACTTGTTCATTTTGCCGACGCGCATGGCTACGGCGACGCGCGCGCATACCAGAAACCGGAGACTTTTCTTTTTTGGCCCAAAGTATTATTTCTTATTACATGTATGTTTGCAACTGAAATGTGTAGACGTGAACGAGTGTCATGATGAAACAGCCCTGTGCAACCATCTGTGTATGAACAACGTTGGCAACTACTCCTGCACATGTGTGGAGGGCTTCATGCTGGATCCAGACGGCTACACGTGCCGCATGCGTATGGGCCTCTACGGTGAGTGCTAGGCCAAATTTAAAAAAAACATGTTTAGCATCCCCGCCACTTCCTAATTTTTGGAGGCCGCCGCTTTTAAAAAAAAAAAATTTTAATACGAAAATATGATACATTTTAAACAGTGCCATCATTCTGGCCTCTTTGTCTGTTGCATCTAGCCCATATAAAGCTGGCGGCCATCTTGAAAATAGCCTGTTCAGGCAGCCATTGGAGTTCTACCAACGCTGATCAGTAACATCATGTTTTATAAATGTCTGATTCTGGTAGATACAATGTAAGAATGATTTTCATCATATTGTCCCCGGTTGCGGACACAGAATGTTCACCCTTGATCTTTTTGATCGAAACAGTTAAACCCCTGCGGTCAGTCTATGGAACACCTTAGCTGTAAATTATATTACTTGCTTTGTCAAATTCATTTGCAAAATTCATCATTCCATGCGGCAAATTTATGATCATTCCATTCAGCAAATGTATCATTCCATTCGGCAAATTTGTCCTTCCAACTAATCAACAGAGGCAAATTCATCATTCCATTTATAGCAATTTCATCATTCCATTCAACAGATTTCTAATTCTCTTTGGCAATTTATCATTCCTACACACAGCAAAAACGTCATTCCATCGGGAAAATTCATCATTGTACACATGGCAAATTCATCGTTTCATTGGGCAAATTCATCACTCTATTCGGCCAATTCGGCACTCCACTCCACAAAAATTCCCAAAATTGACTGACGTTATTAGCTGAATAGATTAACAATTTCACCGAATGGGAAGATGAATCTGCCAAATGGCACAATGAGTGTGACAAAGTAAGTGTGCCTTTCTATGGCAGCCATCATGACTTGCCAATTACCATTCTCTAATCTCCATTTTCATTTGAGAATGAAAATCATGATCCAGTCACTACCTGTTAAAGCTTAACCTTTGAGGATGACACCAGGACAAATTTCCCTCTGATTTTTTTCCTTTTATCGCAGAGGCCTACTCAGCGCTTTCACTGGAGGAGGGACTCGATGAACCGGTATGGAATCCTCAAAAAAAAATGTTTGTTTACTAGAGGTGTGGATTGGAACCGGGTACCTGAGTACCCGACAGTTGGTGTCAGGAACCGGTTCCAGATTATGGGAACAGGTTCCCGTAACCAACTTAACAAATTACTAAGAAACTTCATAGACAATGAAAAAAAGAAATATTTTGAATGCCATTTGTCGAGAATTTTCAATATGAAAACCAGGCTACATGAAAAGCCAAAACAGAAGTCCAGTTTATGTGCATTTTAAGGCCCCACAGATGACACTCGCAAAACTTTTCGACGCCCTTTGGATGCCCTTTGGACGCCCTTTGGATGCCCTTTGGATGCCCTTTGGATGCCCTTTGGACGCCCTTTGGATGCCCTTTGGACGCCCTTTGGACGCCCTTTGGACGCCCTTTGGACGCCCTTTGGACGCCCTTTGGACGCCCTTTGGACGCCCTTTGGACGCCCTTTGGACGCCCTTTGGACGCCCTTTGGACACCCTTTGGACGCCCTTTGGACGCCCTTTGGACGGCTGACCAGCGTTGGAAAAATACAATTTTTCTTGAAAATCTCAGCACACCAGGCGCCACAATTTTACAGGATGCTTTAGACTGCCATTCTCTAACAATCAAGTCAGGTATTTTGTGATAATTGGATCATTTCGTTTTGTGATGTTTGCAAATGTATCTTCCCTTTTATAGGTATTAAAGGGAATATACAACATTTGCAAACATCGAAAAACAAAACATCCAAATTTTTACCAAATACCTTACTAGGATGTTGGTAAATGACAGTCTAAAGCATCCTGTAAAATTATGGCACCTAGTGTGAAGTCATTTCAAGAAAAGTGGTATTTTTGTATAAATTTCCAACGGTGGTCAGCCGACCACCGTTGGAAAACCTAACTATTTTTCAACTACTGCTCTAAATTTACCATTTAGTTTCAGTCCAAATTTTGTTTGCTATTGGTTACATATTTATGAACGTCTGCAGGCCAGCTAGACTGGTTCCCTTACCTTACAACTTTCCGGCATCTATAAATTGATCCATTTCATCTTTAGTGGGGTCAGGGAACCAGACTACTTGAACATTTTTGGTTTTTCTTGGTTTTTCCAGCATTTTCGAACACAAAACTTCAAACATGTCAGTGTAACAGTATTTGATCTATTATACTAACCCCTCAAATAGTTCATTTCTTACAATTACAGCAAAAGCCAATGATGTACATTCCCTTTAACAAAATAATTTGTTGCTTTCTGTTCCAGATGGAAATGTCGTCGTCCATGAGTGTGTCATCGCAAGGCTGGCTGTTCCCGCTTGGCATGGTCTGTGGTATTGCCATCATTGCTATCACAGGTAAGAATCAACATGGATGAAAAATCTATTCTGCGATTTACTTGACCATGTTGACTAATCCAGACGCATCGTCGCGTCAGTGCAACAGGGTCGTATCTCCTAAATTGGCATGAACGACACAAAACGCGAGTTTTGGAATGTCGAAAGGTCGTATCTCGCTTAAAATAACCCGGATGTACACACAAAGTCAGTGGACGTCGAGATACGACCTTGTTTCACGGAGCGTATTCGCGCAAGATACGACTTTGTTGCAGAATGGCGTAATGAATGCAAAACGTGAGTTTTAGAATGTCAAAAGGTCGTATCTCGCTTCAAATAACCCAATAATTTGAAATTGTAGGCTAATAATTCAATCACTGTTGAAATTTTGGCCGATTTTTTGGGGATTCAGTGTCGAACTTTTTGTATTGCTAAAGTAAAGGAATCTATTTTCTTGAAGCGCGGGGAATGCAACGTTAAACCTTGAGTGTTATTTCACGTGCAGCCATCTGCATGAATTTGAACCGTGCCCGGTGACAAATTTTGTTCTTCAGAGACAAATAGTGATTGTTGAACCACAAATGAAAAAAAAAGAAGTGTTTTGATGGCCGCATGTGTATCTAACTTTGCAAGAAACAATGAACAGAAACATCCTTTAAAGATTTATTCTTAAATACTATTCTATGTTGAAGTTGTCGGGAGGAACAAGTCTGAACGATTCCGACACGGGACAGACGTGCCACTGAACGGTGAGCATTTTCATAGAATTTACGTAGAGCGCCCTCACTGAGGACAGGTCTTTGTTCCTCTGTGACGGCAAGAATGGAAATCTTTTACTTTCATTGACACTGACTTGAAACGTCAAAGCCTATTACACGTACTTGAGCTAGTGTTAAAGGGAAAAATACAACATTTGCAAACATCAGAAAATAAAACTACCAAATCATTTTGAAATACCTTGCTGGACTGTTAGTGAATGACAGTGTAAAGCATCCAGTAAAATCATGGCACCTGGTATACTGTCATTTTCAAGAAAAGTGGTATATTTGTATCAATTTCCAACGCTGATCGGCAGACCAGCGTTGGAAAAAAACTGGCTTTTTTTCAAATACTGGCCCCAATTAACCATCGCTCTTGTTTGCAATCGATTACACACCTATGAACGGGTACAAGCCAGCTAGACTGGTTCCCTGACCTTACAATTCCCCAGTGTATGTAAACTGCTCTGTTTCTTCTTATATGGAGTCAGGGAACCAGACTTCAGGAAAATGATTGTTTTTCTTGGTTTTTATAGCATTTTCGAACCCAAAACCTCAAAAAAGTCAGTGTAACTATATTTGCTATATATTTCCAACCCCCCAGTTCCATCCATTTCTGAAAATTACAGCAAAAGCAAATGATGTATATTCCCTTTAATTGGCTCTGGCTTTGAAAGGCTGTTGCAGTCATGACAGGAAAATTCACATCCAGTTCTTGTGGAGTGGATGTTGTATCTGCTAATTATCAATACAATTTGCCTGAAATTTTTCAATTCCCTACCTCAGGATGTTAGAAATTAAGTTAATTCTTCTAGAATTGTTTTTGTCAAACATATCAAGGAATTTTATTTGTCAAAATATGCAAATTTTGTGTGTAGGAAACCCAATTGCTATTCATTTCTTCAATCAGCGAGGCAGTATTTAGTCTAATTTTTGTAGACATTTATTATCATTTAGATTGTCCTCTTGATACACCTTTCCTATACTATAATTACTTTTTGTATATTGAAATGCTATGTGACCATAATGATGATTGTTGACGACAGTTTTGGGTGCTCCGATTACAGAAGGCTAGTCCTTCTCTGGATGGCACCCCCATTCATACTTCAATTCTGCTTATTATTTGACTACATTTATTTATATTAAACTATGTAAACTGTTGCTTATGTATGTACATGTATGAATGGAAATAAAACAAACAACCAAACACCCCAACAAACTCACCGTAAGGATTTTATCACACAAATAATATTACGTGGTTGCTAGAGGGATTGTTGTTTGGCTAGGATTTTGAGGGTCAACAGCTAGAGGTACCTCAAAGGGGCACTCACAGTGTTATCTGGCTATGTTTCAACATACGGTTTCAAGAAGGAACTTGATTATTTTAGTGCCGAAAAAATAATTCAAATATGAAGCAAATGAGTCTTTTGTTTTAGAGCTCAATTCCACAGCGGAGAGATGTATTAACTCTCCTGTGGTTTGACCATTCAAAACACCTCAAAATCTGGGTTCTGGCAAATAGGAGGACAAAAATGCAGGACCTTTTAAAATCCTCCAGAATTTATTGTTACTGCACTACCACACCTTTCAATTCCTTTCGAAAGGTATTGAAAGGCAACTAACTGAATTTGCCCACAGAGTTGCTTCACCTTCCGAAACCTTTCGAAAAGTTTCAAAGTTCCAGCACTATTTCACCTTTCAAAACCCTTTTAGTCAGGCAAACTTAAAATGTTTTGAAAGGTCTGATAATTCTCTGCCAACTGCACTGGGCATAGCAGGGTTGATTTAAGCGCAAGTCTGTGTCATTTTGGTTTTTCTTTTCAGCGATGCGTTCGCTTCAGCGTCGCGTGACACGTAGCCGCTCCAGTGGAGGTGGCCAATCCAACGTCTACATGGCGACTCCCAGCCGAGAGCCGGGCGGCGGGGCAGCAGATCCCATGAATGATGACGCCGTCTACACCCCTAACACCGTAGGCCAGGTACGTGGTACTAGGGTCCTGGCAGGGTCGGTAGTGGCAGACGACATCGATGTGTACCAGGTACCGACTGCCTTACACTCAGTCAGTGGCACGCTGGAATCAGTTCCCAAAGAACCTGTCCCGAGTGCGGCGGTGGTAGATGACGAACCGCATTATCTGTTTGAGGAATTCGGGGCGCCAGAATCCAAACCGAATAACGAAGGCACGGAGCTTTATGAAAGCTACGAAATTCCACCGGCAGCCGTGGACAACGAAGACCTGTACTTAGAAATGATGGGGTGATAGGGCAGCGCGGCATTACGTAAGCTGGCGACAAAACTCTTTTCAGTAGCACGTGCGTTTTAATCGTTTGCTACGTGTTTCATTGGTTGCTACGTGTTTGGTTCAGCAATCCCGACTCATCAAGAACTGTTCAGTTTTGTGAAAATTGGTCCGGGAACAAGATAAAGAGATTTCAGAAGTTCCTGAATGTCTTTAATAGAATGTCCTTCATAGTTTCTGACATCCATGTGCACCTTGTGTTCAGTATCTTTGGAATTGATCACCACTGTTGATACTATTTTCATAAATCTTGTTGTTGACGATATTATTTTCAACAAGAAAGGTGTGCGTTCTTTAAGCAAAACGAAAACAATTCATACACATCCCTATGTGATTTGTTTTCGTTTTGCTGCACCTTTTTGTGATCCGTGGACAGAACTTTAAAACGGTGGTTGTGTTTAAAATTCCGTAACTTGAAAATTACATGAGTGGTTTGAATGATTCTTGTACTTAAAGAAAGCTTATGAATTGGGCTTTCATGTCCTAGATTTTGAAAGTGCTACATGCTGGGGCGGATTGCAATAACGCGGTCTAAGTCGGCTGGCTAAACCAGTCCGATTTTAGCCTGCTATTGCTCTTAGACGGTCTTGGTTAAGACACCAAACTTAGCCCATTGCAATAAGCTGGTCTTTACAAAGCCCGCTTAGAGTAATGATTCACAAACAAACATTCCATAGTTACGAGCAAGTACCGGAGAGACTGCACACATTTTTTTGTAGGTTTGTGTGATTCAAATCATACGAAATCAAATCTGTCAATTCCAAGATTTTATGTTGAGAGAATATTGCATTTGCAGTACAACTCGGTGTCATTAAAAAAAATTCTAGAAGATTCCTTCTATCCTGGAGAATCCTCCCTCCAAGCAGTATTCTCTTCTTTTTTCTTTTTTAAGATTATCACACACTGATCATCAACTGAAAAAAACATGTTAGGAAAGAATAATTCAACACACCAGTGAATTCCAAAAATCCCAACTATAGACCATTTTAAGCCAGCCCTACCCAGGCTAACTATTTTAAGACTGTCTTAATACTTATACCATGTCATTGCAATGGTCTAACTTATAGACTGACTGACAGCCAGAACTTTTAGACCGTCTAATGCGCATAGACAGCTTTAAGACCGGTTATTGCAATCCACCCCAGAACTTCACTAAAACAAGGGTCGTGACTTTTGGGTTTCTTCTTTTTTTTTTACTCATCATGTATAAGGTGGTGTAGAAACTTGATGGAAATGAAAATCCACTTTTTGCCATTGGCATGGAGACTTGATTTATTGCCTGCATTGTCATTACATCAATTTTACAAATCATCGTAGATCTACGTCAATAGATCTGGGTGCGAACAAAAATTGCGAACAATCACAGTCTTAGTTCAGCTTTTGATCCGTTTCAGATGTGAATTTGATGGCCATAGCATCGGTATGGTTTCGCCTGTCAATAACGCCGGCGTAGGTATGTAACGTCTTTCTATAGTGACTAATTTTTTAATCGTCTTTCTACTGAGCCATATAACGCATGTGCTTTCGCATTGTATGTTACGCAGTGTACTTTACAGCCATAATTGTTGAATGTTATTAGCAAAGTCTGTGACATTGTGCTTGTGCTTTGGTAGTTTGCTCATATGTTTGTATCTCATTGTACCAAATAATGCTCATTTAATATTTCAGTGGAGTATTCTCATGGCAATGGGTGACGGCAATTCGGTTTTTCCAACTGCGCGTTCACTCATCAAGATTTCACAATGTTTCCTTTCCGGATAAACAGTTCATCACGTGTAAAAAATTACAGCCGGTACCAACAATATGGGAGAGGTATAACTGAAATGAAACTCCAAACATTTAGGGCGGAACCAGAATCAAATTTCCAGGGGAGGGGCGAGAATGCTCGAGTATTTTAGTTTTGTAGCTGTTGGCCTGCGAGGGAAATTCGCAACATTTTAATATAAAAAAAAATAGATAAACAAAAAAATCTTTTATTAACCCCCCCCCCCCCCCGCCCCCGACTCCAAAAATAATTGCTTATTCTCAAGTGCGAATGAAGGTTTCTATCTTTTTATTGAATGCATCAAACATGCAGATTTGGTTACCGATTCACCATAGATGTACCATTTATGAGAGGCCTTTTTTTTTGAGGAGGGGGGGGGGGGGGAGTGGGGTGGGGGGCCAAATAGAGGGGGCCAAATGAACATCATCAGATCGTGATCTGCTCTGGCGCAGTTGGAATGCCGAACTGGCTCATGCGCGATAGTGCAAAGAATACAACAGAAACTCAGTATTGCTTAGATAGTAATTACTTTACAGTGGCCTTGTGCATTTTACTTTTTTTTGCTATTTATTCACTGGCATGTCATTTCACATGTTTAAAGTTATGGACACATTTTGCAAACAGTCAAAAATGAAACTGTGAACAATCATGAAACATCCTAATAGATTTTAAGTAAATAACGTGATCAAGCATCCTGCAAAATCGTTGCGCCTAGCATGCTGTCATTTTTGAGAAAAAAAGGAATTTCCATCATTTCCTTGCGATGGTCAGGACCAAGCCATCGCGCTTTCAAAGGAAAACTATGCTTTCAGCAGGAAAACTGAAGAAGCATTTTCAGTTTTCTCAAAAAAATGTCTACTGAGCTGAAAGTTTTACAGGTTAGTTTTTTTTAATAACCTGCTTCAGATTTATTGAATTGTCGAATTGGCAACACATTTTTTTTTTTTTGGCAAACAGTGTCCATAACCTTTAGAGATCCAATCAATGTTTTGCTTCTTGACCTGAACATGAAATATGTATCTTTTTTGTGTATTGATGGTCATGTACTCAGAGAGATAGGCCACATTTCGTTACCCAGGGTATGCCCGAACAGTTAAAAACTGGTTTCCATTGGGGCCCTGCATGCATTATAAAAAATAAAAATAAAATTAGACAAGGTTAAATTCACAAGGAGAAGGATGGTCAAGTTATACGATTATTGATTGTTTTAATTACATCAATTAATATAAAATGCGAAATTTTCATATTGACTTGAAATTTGCTAGCTTTAAAATGTAATGATCTATCACGATACTGTGATTGTAGAGTATCTTCGCAAGGCTTGTCAATCAATAGTTTAAATTGGTATAGTTGGATAGAATTATATTAACTTGAAAAAATAATGAATATATACATGTAGGATTTGTTTCAAGACTTTGGACTCTGTTCAAAAGTACTATCACGTTATGCCGCCTTTCCAGCCGTAAGGTTCATACTCAGCGCGCAAGTGAATGCGAACGGGAATTTATGAAGTCATGACAAGTTTTTGCGCTACAAATTTGCAAAAGTGGACACTTTTCATCTGTTGCGAATTTTATAGCGAATGTTTCGGGACGTCAAATTTCCCGCCCGTTTGCATTCGTACTTATCGTGCAGAGTATGAACCTTCAGGGCCGGTGTCATTTGAAATTTGGACTCCTGTGAAATCTGGTTGCTTTTACCTTATATGGAATGTAACCCTGACCCGTGACTTAGCAACTGGTCTATTTCTGTCCACTGACCGAGGCATGGGCAAAACAACCATGAGCCCGTTTTTCATGAGAGTTCATATTTCACACCACACCAGTTCATACTTCACACGAATTTCTGTGCAAAGCAAATTCGTCAGAGTAACAGCAAATGTCACAATGAAACTTTGTTTACGTCCTGAAATTTGTTTCACCTTCGCGTGAAGTGTGAACCAGGCCTTTACGCCAGGCGCCTACATGAGGACGCGGCAGGTCCGTACACACAAATGTTGTGCATTCTGCGTATCATTTGCATGTGAAAGGGCTTGCGCTAATACATGGTGATTTCCGCACATTCAAGAGTCTATAAGGGTAAATTGTAAAGACTTTTTTCGTGTCGTATAACCAGAATTGCCCAACTTGCCACCTTACAGTAATTACATAGTGTGTTTGCAATAGGCTACATCTGACATGTCCGACAAAAACTATTTTATCTTTTTCTTTTGGGCAACTTATAGCATTATGATGCCTTTTATAAAGCCAGTCATGAAATGGTGTACACGAACCTCTTCAAATGGCTAGAAAAGACCTAATGTTTTCAAAGGTCTATTTTGATGGTGAAAAACATACATCCACAGTAAAACTTTTTAAAGCGCTCCAAATTTGTTAAGCTGGTGTAACTGTCCACACCGGTATGCGGATCTTTTGAGGTAAAAAGAGTGGATAATTGAGCACGTTTACCATCACTGGCTCAGTGGTCCGCCGGGCTTGACTTGCCGGTGAACGGGCGCCCTCTGCTGCACAGTCAGGCACGTTTTGGCTAGGGTTGTGTCAGAGGAACCAAAAACATTCTTTCGCCGGTGGGGTATGGGGAGCAGGGGGTATGGCGGGAGGGGGGGGGGGGGCAGGAGCAGGAGATTCTGACTGTCATTACTAAGAGGACTGTAGATTTAAGCTCTCTGTGTTGTCTAACAAAAATTACCAAGATCATTTTCAACCACAGGTTTTTATAAGAAGCAAATAAAGAGTGAAACTGTTTGTTTCTACTTTTAGTTGAAAGTTTTGGCCTAAAAAAATGCCTTAAGTTGCATGCTTAATTTCATGTTAAAAAAACTGAAATGCGTATTTCCAAATACTTGTAATTTCCTTATTGAAATATTATGGTTTAAAAGTTTTTATAATGCACTTAATATTTAACGATTTTTAAAAAATTAGTTTTTCTTGTTGAAGTTGGTTCTAGTTTTGAATATTTAAAAATGCATGCAAGACATATGGTGTACGTGTAGCTTTAAGATGTATGTTTTATTGTGTATCATGGTAATCATTGGATCATCATAAGGAGACATTCCCATAGACTTGTTCACAAGCAAAAACCATCTCATAAATCCATTTGAAAATACTCCCCGAACTTTTTAATACCATCCTCGACCCAAGCAATCGTTTAAAGCAACATGCAAATAAAAATTTGATCTGGTCGTTAAAATACAAAGGGACATTCAAATGTCTCTCAAATGCCCAGTGACTTCCTAATGTCAAAGAATTTACTACAATTCTACAAAGTGTGTCTCCGAAGACAAAAGAATTTTCGTAGGAATACCATCATGTTTTTGCTTGAATATGTGGCAAACTGCAGTTTTGCCTTTTACAATGTGGTGGTTTGTAGAACAAGATTGACTTATTAGTATTTGTAGTCAAGTTTCGGTCGCTACGAGAGTTTCACTTTGACGAAAAACCAAATTTGGTGAATTGTTCTGGTTGTAGGAATTTCTAGGATCATTTGCTTTTCATGCATTTTGTTTGTTTCTAATAATAACACCACTCAAAATCCAAAGAACAATGTTCAA